TTTAATATTCTTCAATTTTATCTCTTTTCCTATTTTATTTATAATCGTTCTCGAGTAATAATAAACCTATCTTCGCATATGACTTTTCTATATCTTTACGGAGGATGTAAATATATGAAGATGCACTAAATTTCAAGACCATTCATACGACCATGCAAAACATAGTTATATAGGACTTCACAATGATTGTTACAACTTGCTATAATATCTATCTCTATCAAAATAGGATTCAGTTATTTATAAAAGGAATTGAAAAGCAAATAAAAAATCTAACAAGCATTCAAACCAAACAACTAATTAAAGTCAAAACCTGGAAATTAACATTAAAATATCAAAATATAGGCTTCAACATTATTCTAGTATCTAAAGGGACCTTCTTTTGATATCTCTTTATCTCTGATTTTTCTTTGGTTTCACAGATTGTGAGCTTGATTTTCTTTATCCGGGTGAAGGCATCCATAAACGATGGGATAATGGCTATAGAATCACATCAACGGCTGCTACATCAGACCAAGTTGCTCTTATTTTGAGTATGCCTAGGCACAAACTCACCGGTGATGGTCAGGAAACGTTATGTACAACTTTGTTCCCTGCCTTACATATTAAGGTAAATAGTTGGTAGAATTCTGATTTGTTTCCCCCTTGCACATTGAATAAAACCTTTTCCCTCCCTTATAAGGGATTTTATGCTTTATAATGGTCGTAGTTTCAAAAGGATGGAATTATCAATTCTTTGCTGTAATTGGGTTAATTACTTCCATTACGGACGAGTGTGCTTGTATTTTATGGATGGTTTATTCCATTTTCTTTCCTGGCCAGACTATTCTAATTCAACTCATTCTGCTGTTTGAAATTCTTGAATACTTGCTCTTAGTTGCTTGAAATGACGTCGGCAACTTGCATTGACGAATGATTGCTTGCAGTTGTTATATTGTAAAATTTTAATCTCATTGAATCGTTTACATGATCAGGTAGTTGCATGTTTAGCACTGAAATTTTCACCTCCAAGCACCATCCCAAACTGAGTTTTACTTTACTATTCAAGAAGCAAGAGTAAACAGCACAATTTTTATATATCATATGGTTATATTGAGTGAACAATTGACCTTCTTCATTCTTTTGGGAAAGAAGAAACGTTCATCTCTAGTTTTACTCACCAATCTTGGTCGTGTGCAGGGAAAATGGATAAAAAATCTCTACCTTGCTCGTGTATGCTATGGACATGTGTATCTTGATTATGTGTTTCTGGATCGTTGTTCGCTTCAAGAAACGATCCCGGTTTCATGGGTTTTTCGTCTTGTGCTTTTCCATCAATACGGGGGCTAGAGTTCAATACCGAAGGATAAATTCTTCTCTTGTTAAAAATTATTTATATATTTGGTAACAATGGCATTTGAAAGATACTTTTTGTGTGTAATTGGCCGCGTACCTTAACCAGAGGACATACCTGCTGGCTTTATTATGGGAGGAGTTGGTATAGAATTATTTATTTATTTATTTTTTATCTTACTAAAGTTCACGTGTGTAGAGCTGGCCTGTCTGGCTGGCAATTTTCTGCGGTCTGTGCCCGCCCCATGGGCCGTGGCTAGTGAGACAGCTGGGTGGGTCTGTGCAGCGGGTGTGGTATGGACTAACCTTCGCCTGAATGGCTTCATCCACTTCAGATTTATGGTTCCAGTAATGTACTCAGAGAGGAATTCATCTGAAAAGAACCAAAGTGGAGAGAGTAAGAATAGTTTTATAAATCAGTTAATTCTATTATTCATTGGATTAGATCAAGATATTGATTTTTCTCTTATTTTTTGAAATTCTAAAATTCGATACCACATTGAATTGGTATCGAGCCATATCACTTGTGATGATTTCTTGGTTGAAACATTTTTTCTAATACAATCGGCTTTCATAAATTCTGAATAAGACAATGTTTACACGTACAATTCTCCTAGAGTTACTCAATTCATTGCACACAGGTGAAAAGCCATATTGTGAAGGGCAAGAAACTAAATTGTAATTTCAAAACTTTGAGACATTTAATCTCCTATTAATAAAAAAAAAAAAAAAAATATATCTTCTTTAAAATTGTTTGATTGGTGAATTTCATGCCCCATTATGCTTAAACTATAGATTAATGGATTGTCTTTTCTCAAATATATATCTTAGTCAATATTATGAATTAAACTTAAATGCCTATAGGGATCAATTAAAAACACAATCTGCCGGCTTCTTTAGAGCCCACTGTATAATATACTGCATAACTAAAGCAGAAGGAAAGAACTAACCAAAATTTGAGTACACAAGACAAAGACGGCCTTCTTCGCGAAGACATTTTATTGGAAATGTAGACACGACAATACTGGATTATTAAAAAAAGAAAGAAAGAAAAGATCTTGTTCATTACAGTGTTTAGTCGAGTCAGAGTTCTGTATATCAATCATTGCGCTTGGGGAGGGGCTAATCACAGCTTCAACAAAAGCAACTAATAAATTGTCCAAATTCTGCAGAAAACTTTTTCAAGTAAATATGCCTATGGAGTTCAAACTGTTAAAAAGTAGCCCACAGGCTATACCTTTTATGCAGTTCATTTACAGACAAATTAAAAAATATCCTGCCTGTACATGAGAAATTTGCCAGTCGTGTTCCTGCCAAGAAAGGGGAAAATAATGTACTCCATGATCGTGATTCCACGAAAGTACATTTAGTTTACGACTGTACTTTCCATATTCGCCCAGCTACTTTTAGCTTCAGCTCCCGGCTATTACCTCGGAGGGGGAAAAAAGTGCCATGTTCTTTTGAATAGTCAGTCCATCCATAGTACACCTAGTTTACTACTATACTTTCCATATACGCCCAGCTACTTTTAGCTTCAGCTCCCGGCTATTACCTCCTGAGAAAAAGAGTGCCATGTTTTTATGAATAATTAGTCCATCCATACTATCTCGGACTGTTTTATGACTATCACGAATGCTCCTAGGAACTCCTTGCCAAGTCAGCTTTCTGCCGTTTGCGCCAACTTCCAAGCTATAACTGAACTTTCTGGCATCATGTTCCTCGCCCATGAAACGAATGAATGCCATATAAACGGGAGCCCTTCCCAGATTGAAAGCCTCAAAGTGCAAGCAGAACTGGTAACCAAAACAGTTGAAAAGCTGCACCATACGAAAACCAGAAAATTTTATCATGCCTCTCTATCTTGTTCTAACTTTTCGCAACTGGTGTGTTTTTAAGCTTAAAAGTTTACTTATAAGTAACTTGTTTTACTCAAAAGTAAGGAAAAAAATAAGTTATCCAAAGATTTTAAGAAACCAAAAAAAGTTATGCTTCTTTCTGAGCTCAACCAAACATGCTCTTGAATGAAAAAAATGATGATGATTCATTTCAATAGCAACTATTCCTGGATAAGATTTATCATGGAAAAATAGATGATGTAGTTTGCAGAATGAGATGGGATTATGTTGCATGATACAGACATAAATAAAACATTCGACTGGCATGTTAACTGACAAACACGCTATGAACCATGAAAGAAGAGTATGTGCCATATTTCGTCTAGCATTACATAATAACAGCAGTGGCAAAAGCAGAAGAAACTCTGTTGAAAACATGACATAAATATAAAGTAAGCACTACATGAATGTGTTTGAAAACCAAACAACAATTCGATTTTTGGAATTCACACAGTTACCATAGTCAGTTAAATGGCCTTTGATGAAAGTCAATATATGGTATTAAGAACACTGATAAGGCTGTTCAGTTGGTAAAGTAACATCCACCTTTGTTATTCTCTAGGTTTTGAAGCAGCAATGACAAATTTCAAAATTTAAAATTATTTTCAATCATGGAAAAATTTCGAAAATGATGCCAATGAGTAAAATTATTATTTATTTATTATTATTTTTTTTTTGGGGTGGGGGGAAGGGGTGGAATGGAGTTGAGTAGATTCTGAAATTGGAACTGCTTTAAGATAACCCAAAGTGGAAGAATATAATATTTGAGATGCAAATCGAGCATGCTAAATGCAATGACATTGAATTTTCATCCACTCTCAAAACCAAATGAGCGTGCATGCGTGTGTGTGAGAGAGAGAGAGAGAGAGTACTTACCGTCAACATCCATGTCGCATTTTCAAAGTCTTGGGGATCGGTCTTCACATACCGATGGTTAAAAGTACTCCCGTCATGCATATCAACTTGATGATGATTCTTCAGATGTTGTATCAGCGACGGGATACTGCCACTGACGTGGCATTCGGCTCCAGCATAAGGGCAATTGTACGGACGAAAGCCACAACTCTGTTCATGCCTAAGCCTGCTTTGATAGGGAAATATATCCTGACAACCAAAAATCTGATATCTGCATGGCACTTCTAGAGATTCTGCAACTCTCTCCAATGCCAGGCATCTTATGTTCCCAAGTTCTTGACGGCAAATTGGGCAAGAACGCACTTTGGACTTGCACTTAGAGCACAAAGTGTGGCCATTTGGACACTGAATAGGAGAAAATGATTGTGACAGTCAGCTTGATATGCGTCTTAAAAAAAGAGATTTTTTTTTTGTACACCAAAGATTGAGAAGTAGAGACCATATAATTAATTACTTTCTTTGCATATTATCATAAATGCATCAAGGGAATGAGAACAAAATTTGCATATTTCTGATAAGATGCTAGCTGAAAAAGTCAGCTTACATCAAATTTGTATTCTAATATTTATATAAAAAAAGGTAACTTTTAAGTTCTTTTTCTTATAAAGACTTGTTCAAACAAATTCGAACTTTTGTTATCTTAAAGAACAGATGATTGAATTACTTGCTCCACACTGTCAGATAATCTCACAACTGAGGCATAACCGTTAATAGGAGAATATATGTTTCTACATAGAATCTGTATCCACAAGAATCTGTATCCACTACAGTACGCAAAAGAATATTCGTTCAACCTCATCAGGCATTTCTTTAATAACATAATGATGATGCTAGTGGTGAGCCATATGTAACATCAAAGTTTTCATGCAAAGCAGTTTGAATCCACATAACAGAACTCAGTTCGAAGCAATAAAAATGGAATATAGATGGGAGATGGAAACTTGATATTTTGCGAAGTAGACAACTAAATTAGAAAGAGCAAAATAAGAAGCCTATCTAACAAGGAAATGAGATGGTGGAGCAAGAAGTTCATATGGCGGTTAAGCTTAAGGATATGTCAAACCTGCAACAAAAAAATCACATATAACAGCCTACATCATCATAGAAAATGTAATGTTGGAATGGACGACAGGACAGAGAGACACCAGCAACTTGTAGTCTTAGTTAACTTGTACAAGATTTGCAGCATAACGACTCCAATGAAGGTCACAGAGAACACATGATTCGTGTTTTTCCATGATGAATTCACAAACTACAAAGATAAAATTCCTGTTTTCACAAAATTAGAAAGGATGAACTGCACTTATGCCATGTCATCTAATTACGAGTCCTATTAATCCCCTAATCCACCGAAAAAAAAAAAAAGAATACTCAAACAAGTCATCAACGCAATATAAGTTGAGTTATATTTCAGTCAAAAAATATATATCTCCAGTTATTTCATTAAGTACGTCAGCTAACATCATTAAGATTTATCAGAGACTAAAATTCAGTCAGTGACGAGCATAAAATAAAATTTAGATGGAAAAATTTGCACGAATCAGACGTATCGATGGCCCACCTTAGAGCTATTAACTCTGACATGTGAATTTTTCATTGAGCCATCGAAGCACCAAGTCTAGAAGTACTCTGACAATCACTTTAATTGCTGATGTATGCAAGCCTAGGAGTACTCGAGAAACAAATTATCACTTACAAGAGATCCTACCTGGTGAATTGGAGGGTACATTATATTCATACAAACAGGGCATTCGAGCAGTTCGTGAACGGCTGTGTTTGATGCTGCTCCATTTTTCTCACCAATGAGAATCGAAACTTTTCTAGAAGGCATTGGTCGGGATTCAACAGTGTCAGGTGCAATTACACCCTCATAGGTGCTACCTCCTCGGGTCATTGTTTTTCCGAAATGGCAATTTGTTGAGATTCTGTTAGTATTAGTATGAAAGTTAATCGGGAAAAGAGTTTACTTAAGATTATTAGCATACAGAAGCGAATTAAAGTCATTAGCTATATTGCAGCACTTATATAATTGTAGAGGAAAACTTGACACTACAATAACAATTGGCAAGAATAACAATTTCCCACTTGCTATACACGACATAATTGATAAGTGTGCAGGAAAAGGAAAAGAGAAGAACTAGCAAAGTTTATATATCACCACCAAAAAGTAAAATATGAGGAAAATTCACAGGCATTAGACTGCACAGTCAATAAAATAGAATGCAGTAATCAGACTAATATTCTTAAGTAGATTTGACATCATGGAAATTAAGTGTTCGATTTTCAAGACGAATATGGGTATTGAAAATATAAGAGATGTAATTATCGAATGAATGTTAATTTAGACAAATTATGAAAAAAATTTCAGTGAGGTGGTAGTATTATCCTACGTGGTACAATTGTCGAATGGAGAGCCACCACCTTATTGGGTGGCCCACTCTCATCCAATGAGATGAGAACACTCCAGGACTTAAGATGGAAAGAGAGAAAAAATAAGTTTCGAAATGACCTCAACTCATTGGATGATAGTGAACCACGTTGATGAGGAGGTGACTCCCCATTCAACTGTCGTACAGATTTTTCTTGCAAATCATAGGTTAGTTAAATTTAGAATTTCATTACATGATACACACCACGTTTTGAAATATTAATGATATCTATTTTGAAGTTGGTGTTGGAAGGTTGATTTCGGATTATATCCATTACTAATATGGGCAGTGACGAAAGCGTGAGCTCATAGTTTCGGAAGGAGAGTTCAAAAATTTGGTGGAAAAATTAAACAAAAAAAGGAAGAAAAAATATAAGATCCTGGATACATCGGATGACTCAATCGAAGTTTCTTGAAAATCAGTTCTCATTGCGGAAAAGTGATTTTATAACTATTATGGGCTAAATAAGATCTGATTGAACTAGAATTGACCAATTTTGTTACACTACGATATAATTTTTCTATGCTCTAGAAATAAATTGTCTAGTGTAAAATGCAATGCAAAATTTCTTATCTCTCATGCTTTTGGCAACAAAAGCGTTAATAGACATATATATATATATATATATATATATATATATTATAGAGTCAATATTAGTAGAAACGTGAATTGGAGTTAGAGAATTGTAAATAACATAGAGCAATTGATAAATAGAACTGACATTTGTTATACAAAATAAAAGTTGTTCTGAAATTGAAAATGATTGAAACTTTTTCAGTAAAAGTTATTCTGTCTCCTTAGCCCCAGATGCCTTGTACCAGCACATTAACATTAACAATTTCGTTCATTTTTAGCAGAAGCTAAAAAAAATAAAAATAAAAAATAAATTCACAGAAAGATGTATGCTCAAGGAACAGAAGTAATAAAAAGAGAAACCAATCTAATAAGGAAATTTTTTGACTTTGCAAAACCAGTAGATACAATGTTTTTTTCAACAAAATGAGTTAAAGCTCATACTAAAGTTTTCAATAAAGAATTTTCCTGAAGAAGCTTTTCCACAAGCTCAAATTAGAAAACATGCCAACAAATTCATTCGCATCAAAATCAAATCTTTAAAAACAAGCCATCAATTTAAGAATTTTAACCATAGACATATGATGCAAATTATACACTCAAGATACAATAAAATTACACAGCAATTCACAGATACCAGTGTCTTCACACTAGAATCCAAAACAATTAAGTGAAAAAATAAACATTCTAAGATCAATTTTTTTGTTTTTTTTTTCTGTTAAAACCAAGAATTTATACCAGGAATAAGAAAAAAAAAGAAGAAAAAAGCAGAACTCAATCTTTTTTCCATTCAAAACACCTTTACCGTTCCTCTAATTCACGATTTTACAGAGGATTCCAGTATTTTTCATCAAATAAATACTCCCCAGAAAAAAAGTAGAATAAAAAAGCCGAAAATTCTGGAAAAAAATGTTGAAAACCTTCACGCTAAACAAGCGGAGGAAAAGAAACCGTCCACGGAAAGCAAAAACCCAGACGAGATTCTGCAGACTTTAAAGGCAATACGCCTGAAATTGAACTCAACCCATGTATGAATTTGTAATCGTAATCAATAATTGGTTTTTGAGGATACACACAATTTACTCTCTACAGGACAAAACCCAGGGGTGTTTTGATTGAGGTATAACTCAATCCTTAAATGCCGTCTGTGTCCTCCATATTTACGTGTCTAAGTTTTGGATTTATTTACCTAACCTCGCTAAAAATACATACACGCGCGCGCGCGAATATATATATATATATGTGTGTGTGTGTGTGTGTGGGGGCGGGGGGGGGGGGGTTACTCTCTACAGGACAAAACCCAGGGGTGTTTTGATTGAGGTATAACTCAATCCTTAAATGCCGTCTGTGTCCTCCATATTTACGTGTCTAAGTTTTGGATTTATTTACCTAACCTCGCTAAAAATACATACACGCGCGCGCGCGAATATATATATATATATGTGTGTGTGTGTGTGTGTGGGGGCGGGGGGGGTGGGGGGTTTCTTTTTTAAATCAAATTTTGTAAAGAAAAAAGGACTAAGAGTCAAAGATTTGAGTGGTCACAGTCTGATTATCCATTATGGAAGTTAATTGACATCTACAGTTCAGGCAATTTCCCTATTGTGCGTATTCACATTTTGCCAGTGTGATTATATTACTATTTTTTATTCTCTCTCTCCAAAGTAGAGAGAAATATTAGGTTTTCAATTTTTAATTTAAGTGAAAAATAATAATTAAGTTTAATTATATGTTCGTAACTTTTTCACTACCAATTCCATTAATTTTTATCAAATTTTGATTTTAATATCCATCAAACATGACTATATAAATTCTTGGAATATATGAAAATCTGGAATAAAATTGGATAATGTTTTAATACAATGTGTAATGCCAGTTATCGTATGTTTGTTTTTAGATGTTTTATATGCTTGGATTGGTGACTAAGTGTCATAGATTTGACATCATGGAAACTAAGTGTTCGATTTTCAAGAAGAATATGGGTATTGAAAATATAAGAGATGTAATTATCGAATGAATGTTAATTTAGACAAATTATGAAAAAAATTTCAGTGAGGTGGTCTTATTATCTTACGTGGTGCAATTGTCGAATGGAAAGCCACCACCTCATTGGGTGGCCCACTCTCATCCAATGAGATGAGGACACTCCAGGACTTGAGATGGAAAGAGAGAAAAAATAAGTCTCGAAATGACCTCAACTCATTGGATGATAGTGAACCACGTTGATGAGGAGGTGACTCCCCATTCAACTGTCGTACAGATTTTTCTTGCAAATCATAGGTTAGTTAAATTTAGAATTTCATTACATGATACACACCACGTTTTGAAATATTAATGATATCTATTTTGAAGTTGGTGTTGGAAGGTTGAATTCGGATTATATCCATTACTAATATGGGCAGTGACGAAAGCGTGAGCTCATAGTTTCGGAAGGAGAGTTCAAAAATTTGGCGGAAAAATTAAACAAAAAAATGAAGAAAAAGTATAAGATCCAGGATACATCCGATGACTCAATCGAAGTTTCTTGAAAATCAGTTCTCATTGCAGAAAAGTGATTTTATAACTATTACGGGCTAATAAGATCTGATTGAACTAGAATTGACCAATTTTGTCACACTGCGATATAATTTTTCTATGCTCTAGAAAGAAATTGTCAAGTGTAAAATGCAATGCAAAATTTCTTATCTCACTTTCATGCTTTCGGCAACAAAAGCGTTAAATATATATATATAGTCGATAATAGGCTCCTATTTGGTGCAGCTAAAATGTATATATATATATATATATATATATATATATATATATTATAGAGTCAATATTAGGCTCCTATTTGGTGCAGCTAAAAACTAAATTGAAATTTAAATCAAAATCAAAATCAAAATCGACAATTAATAGTAACCACATGTTTAATTACTTCTATGACTTTTCAACCACACATTATATTGACTAACTTTGATTTTTATCCAAACCAAATGAGTACAATTTATAAAATTTCACCAATCACATATGTAAAGCAGATCAGGTAAAATAGAGCCACCTGTCGGGTGTATAGAGCCAGACTGCATTTTCCTGCCAGGCCGGTCCGGCCACTATGACTGGCCGACCTACGAGTAAATTGGCATGTTCACCTGGGATAACTGAAAATATATAAACTCACAATAAAGTACTTGATACAGACCTGAGATACTATCTACAGCCAATAATTTGCCAAGACTTTCAAAACTACAGTTGAAGGCACATCCATAAGTCACCATGCAAAGCAAGAACAATTTGACAACGTTTTATCCTAGGAATTAAGGGACAGGATCAAAATATAAACAACATATTGACAAGGTTTATCCTAGGAATGAAAGGACAAAATCAAATATAAACTGCAGATACATTATCTGAAACTCTTCAGCCGGGCAGAATTTCGAGTGACTCTCTTCGTCTCTTGAAGTGATGCAGATACTGGACAAGAGTCAGATTCTGCATTATTGTTGCCAACTTCTCGGATCCTACGCTTTGTTCTCACGGAAGGTCCTGGAAGCTGTGGGTTCTGAGAAGTAAGATTTGGATCATTCTCTTCTTCTACAGCTTCTGCTTTGACTGCTGAACCAGGCCATTTTGTCCCACATCCAGGACAAAATCTTTCGACCTGAATATCATAGTTCTTCATATTAGTCCACCCCATTGAGGAAATTTGAAAATCCTAAAGATTACTGGACAGAAACAAACCGTACCTGCTTTCGTGAATATTTCTTTTTCAGACAGTATAGATGCATTCTAACATTACAACCTTCATTAGGGCAAAGTTGAGCCTGCATGAAACAGTAGTAATAGAAATGTCAGTTTCGATGGCAAAATAAAGCAAATCTCTTAAATGCTACTACTAACCAATTTCTGCGTAAGAAAGGTGTCCAAAAATTTAATCACTTTTGGACGAGAATAAGAACATAATCTCCTTTTGATGGTCAATTAAGTTAAATAAATAAACAAGTCTTCATTTGTAAATGCTTTCAATCAAATATGCATATTGTGTCTAGAGCTACAGATATTTAGGGATTGTTTGAACCCCATTTTTTCTTTTCAAAAAATGCATTCACGATGGAAATGTGTAGTTAAAAAATAAGGAAAATTTTTGAGTTACTTGTAATATTATTTTATTGAATAATGTGTGGTTGAAATGAGGTTAAATCACTGTTGAAGAATGTATTTTGATGAAAAATGGGGCTCAAACAAGAGCTTAGTTTTTCCTTATTCCGGAGAGAGAAGAGAGTGCATATCATGATGCTGGAGATTTGTCTGGATCTTCCATAAAAAGTATATTTCATGTTTCTCATGAAATGGTAAGTGAACTAGATTATAAATTATATTTCCCTAAGAGAAAGACAGTCAAATTGAAGAACCAGGGATTCTGATACTTTTCTGTAAAGCCTTCAGGTACTTGGTCAGCCAAAACTGATTATGTGATGTTCTCTTATGAAACGAAATACCATGTAAGGCATGCACTGCAAGGTGCCAGAAACTATATACTAGATCTTAGTACAACACAAACCTTAACTGCAGCCTCATTGCAAACTTCGCATGCAGGAACCTCATTAGTACGGAACCAACTTCGGAGATCAAGAAAGGATCTAACTCCAAGTCCAATTTTTTCATCTAGTGTCAAACACAGCCACTTATCCTGCATCAGTTGTTCAAGCGTTTTTTCCTTTTGGGCCATGGAGAAGTTCCTGAATGCAGGTGGGACATGGGTTTGACCCCCCTGTGACTGTGAATCAGTACCCCTGGGAACCTGGAAATTAGATAACAAAGGGTTGCCAACAAAACAGATAGCAATAAAATCCTGGACAACTCTTTTACAATATAGCTTATATTGATCTAACAAAAGCCAATGATAGGGTGCCTATTTTATGATGGTTGATTAAGCGATATTTAAATATTTTGCATAGACCTAAGCAAGCTTAGATCATAAGAGTAATGAAACATCAGTGGAACAGGTTAGAAGAGCAAGCCCAAACCAAACTAACAAGACTTCTTGTGGTTGCTAAAAATCTAGTCTCTTTCAATCTTCGAGTACATCTAGCAATGGACCGTAGAGCGAAGAAAAAGGATTTATGTAGTTGTACATAAATTCATTGAATATAAGATTTAGTTTGTTATCGTTTATGCTTCAGAAATATGAGAACAAACAAAAATATACACTTGCTTATGGAGAAAGAAGTCAAAACAGAAGAAATGGTAGGATCTACTGTTAATAATTGATACAAACTGGATCTTATTTATCACAAATAAAAAAAGTAACAAATGAGTCAACAAACCTGGTTCTCCATACGGATATTTAGAGCTTGGATATTGGAAATGCTGCCCTGGGCCTCTACATCTTGAATGATGACTTCTACCTAATAGAGGTGTGCAGAAATAGTAAACATAAAAAGAAAAAGGAAAAAGCAGAATCTCATTCAACAATTAGTAAATTATTAGCATGCACACTAAACAAAAGACACTGACGCGCTGAAATTTTTTATCAATTATAAGGGAATACAGAGTGAGAATTGAAGACAACGGACCTGTTTTGAATCCAAAAAATCAAAAGCAACTTTTCTTACTATCGGCCTAATATGCAAGGGATTCACGTGACTACAATGCAATAAAAGCCAGAAGATTTGTGGTAATTCAAACTGAGGATTGCAACAATCTTTTGCTTCTACTTCTCTAGCTTGACGATAATTTTTTGAAATGGAAAAAATACAAATTTACATAATCTGGAAGACACATAACATGCTAAAGTCAGCAGCATTTTTCTAGCTACAGATAAAGGACTTAATTAGGAACAAAAGAAAGGGAAGGATTGGACAGCAAGAGAAAGCAAAGAAGAGCCTTGCTTATCCCCGTAAATTATTTTCATTGGGAATTTATTAATTGTGACTAACATGCTCAACCTCAGCTGATTTTCCTTCAACTCATAACAGCTTGGTAAGCAAACTAATAATGTGCACTCTTATATGATGAAGATAGATATCTTAGTTGAAGAATATCGCCAGTGCTGGCTGCGCCTTCCAACCTCATGAATTCAGAAAATAATGAAATGTGAGCAAGCGAAAAACAAAGGAACTTACAATGCCCTTGTAGAAAGCAATCTGAGGAACAGTATATTTCGTCCCAAGCTTGGACTGGTCATCTGAAATATTATTAACCACCCCATAATACACATTGCCATCATATTGATTTCTGCATGCGCGCAACTCAAACTGAACATACCCTAGCTCCAAGTTTATATTTCGAAGATATTCATTGAAGAGCTGCTGGTGTGCACCTGGAAGATAAGATTATGCGTCGTCTCATGAAAACACTAATAAATTCTTTCTTAAAGAGGAACAGACAAAGCAAAAATTTTCAGCAATTTTCCCTAATTTTACTTTAAAATTCCATAAACACGGGATTCATGACCAATTCCGGCCACTGAAACCAAAAATCAAAAACTCAAAAAAAAAGGAGGTACAATTCAAAAATAGGTATAATAAACAGTGTTGTGCATTATACTGCAGCAATTGTGCCTTGAAACCCAAAAAAAGCACAAAATTTACTGAACCTGGGGGTTTCCCGGTGACATGGGAGAAGATGGCGTGGAAATCATCTTCCTTAAGCGGTCCACGAGAGAGTAGCGACTGAATGAGGGTATGGTGTCTCCAAGATAGCGTGGGCATTGTAAGAGAGTAATTGGAATTTGGTTTCTGGATCAAACTGGAAAGGAATTTGCCCTAGATATTTTGGGTGGCGGGAATGCGAAATATGAAGATGGGTCGAGGATGGAGAGGTATTGGGCTAACTCATCAACCAAACAGGGATTAAATGGTAAATCTAATGATATATAGAGTGATATGATATTTATTTTAGGCTAAACATATTCACAATTCACGTCCCATTTTTTAAAACTAGACTACATTTCAATTGCATTGCATAAAAGATTCATAACCTCTACACATTATCCCATTCGTGTCTCAAACTTTTTTCTTCATATTTTTATTCTCAAATTATTGTAAATTTTACTGATTATGATTTCTCTTTAAAGTAGAGTAAAAATATTTATTTGTCTATTTTACTTTTGAATAAGCAAAAGAAATAATACTACAAAAATACAATTAAATATTTGGGTCTCATTTTAAAGTACGTTAACAATATTTTTGGATGAAAATCACGATCACTAACAAGATTTTTTAATTAATGAAATGTTAAAAATAAAAAACTGAACTTTAGATGCAGATAAATCATATCTTGTAATTTTAGAACTACACAGAGAGACTGGCGGTCGAAATTTCAATTGATGTTTAGAAAGGTGCTGCTGACGAGTTTGCTATAAAGAGTTTTTCTCATTTTATTCACATTGTCGAAAGTATCCAAACTCGACCAAAAGAGCTCTGTGGTGGTCGGTCTTTCACTTCATCTCGAAGAAAAAAATTCAAAATATAAGGGCGATAATGAATAAAGGTTAATGAGCTCTAATGTAATTAAAATGTAGCCTATTTATAAGAAAAGTGGTATGAATAAAACCATCTTTTATTTTATTAGACATGTCGTTTAAAGTACATTATGTTGTGCAATTGAGGTGCGGCTATCTCATGACTGTTCAAATCACTAATTCGTGATTGCCACATAGTCCCCACCTCTTTCATGCTCTCTATTTCAAGTACAAAAGTTTTGATCATTATGAAAACATGTTAGTTCATGTAAAGTTATAAAATTATGATTTAATGAAAAGATTATTACAAAACATTATAATTGACTAAAATTCAATTTTGCAAGTATAGTTGAGAACCAAAATAATCCTGAACTATTGATTTATCATTGTAAAACCCAAAACAATATCGATTTTAATTGAAACTAACAGAGCCATCTAATTTAATAATAGTACCCACCCCTAATTCTTAATTATGATAAACAGGACTATATTTCCTATTTGTTCAATTTGTTTTTACAGCAAAGGGAAAAAGAAAAAATGCGACCTGCATAAGAAATGGGTCCAAAAACGAAGTTAATATATAATAAGCTTAGGACTTTTTGCATTTTTCAGGATATGCCACTTTACTGATAGATGATATATAAATAGTCTAATCCATAAATTAAATTAAATTTGGACTGTCTCCTTGAGCTAACTAGTAATTCTAGTAGTTTCCAGCCAAATAATTTTTATTTTGAATTTATGGCGATGGAATTTGGGCGCGAAAACACAAACATACATACGGTTTACAACTTTAAATTGGATGAATTCTCACGTCACAATGAAAAAGGATATGATGTCTTTGATTAATTTTCAAACAGGAGGTGCATTTTCACCTCTAATAATCTAGAATAGCGTCACTTTAGAAAGATGTTGTAATGACAAATAAAATTGAAAGTACACATAAAATTGTATACGACATGTTCCCAAACTTCTCCATTGTTTAACCTTATTTTTCTCAAAAATTAAAGTGATCTAAAATCTTTGTGAATGCATATGTGTATTCTAGTATTCATGAATTTCAATCTATAGGATTGATCTTCTGCTCATAGTGGACATGAGATATCTTGTTCACCGATAAGATGACAAGATGTGGTCTTGATTTTAGGCATTTTCTAATGTTGGATCAATGTCAAAAACTTTAAGGAAGCTTAAATCAAATTATGTTCTTTATTATTTTGGGAAATTAGATTGATAACGAAGATTTTAGAGAAGTAATTGTATTGTTAACTTATTCAGAATCAATGAGACATCGTGCTAATGGCTCAAGAAAAATACCACGTGTTCCGCAAGTGATCATAAAATTTGGTTGAAGGAAGGACAATTAAATTTTTAATTCACTTGAATAAAAAATAAATAAGGGCTTAGTTGAAACATAAAATTAAAAGCAGGGACCTATTATTTAATTTCTCCATTCTTTTTCGGACAAGCTGACGTGACCAGTCCTAAATACTCTTTTTTTTTTTTTTTAATTTGTTTTAAATTTAAAATATAAGACATGTACTACAATTGTAGGATAGTTATTGATGGTTTTTTAATCCCAATACTTAGATAGTCTGTTTAATCTAAAATAGTTTATTATATTCTAATTATAACTCTTATTTTAAACCTATAATTATGGAATATTGATTTCAATAAAATTCAGGGCTGTATTTTGAGTATTTATATTTCTTTTATTTATTATAAAAATAATAATATTTATGAATGACTTTTATACCTCTATAATTATAATTACAACGATACCCCTGTAACCCTAGTAAATTTGTTGACTTTTCTCTCGATCTCTCTTTTTTCTCTCTAATTTATTTATGACACTTCCTTTACTTTCATAACAAAACAAAAAATATAAATTGCCAAAATACTAAAAAACGCTTCTTATTCCGTCGCTATGTCCACTCCGCCGGAGTCCGTCGCGTTTCCCTCAATTCCCACCACCACAGCCATCATCGAACCGACCAACCGCCGCTCCTACCGATGCTACAACTGCAACTATTCTTTTCATATTATACCTATCCCCGCCACTGTCACCGTTTCCCCCAACTCTTTCCGCTGTCCTCGATGCCACCACCGCCACCTCATTCCCCACCACATCATTTCACCGCCGATGCCTCCGCCTTCCGTTCCCCCTCCATCTCCTCCAACGTTACTGCCTTATTCCTCCCGATCATTCACTTACTACAGCTCCGATGAATCTGACTCCGAATACGAATCCGACTCCGATAACTCATTACTTTCCTTCACTACTCCGAGTATTCAGCGAGTGACTCCTGCTTTGAAATCCTTTGTTGATTCTCTTCCAATTAAAAAATTCGACAAAAATTTAGCTCCACCGCTTCAGTCTTGTTCAATCTGCATGGATAGTTTTGAGATCGAGAACGATTCCGATACAAGTGCAACAGTTACTGAATTGCCTTGCCAGCATTATTTTCACAAGGATTGTATTTCCGAGTGGCTCAATCGGAGCAACACTTGCCCTTTGTGCCGGTACCAATTGCCTATGAAGTCCGGCCCGGCACAGAACCAATCGGTGGAGGAGTATGAGGCGGTTTTGGCTCCGGAAGAGGAGCCTGTTGTGAGGAGGGTCATTGAGGAACCGGGTCCAAGTTTAGGGTTGAATTCGGGTTCTGGTAGTTCAATTGTGATGGAAGAGGTTGCAGATGATAGCAGGGAAAGGAGTGCGTGGGTGTTTGACGCAATGCGCGATGAGGATGGGGATATTCTGATGGTTGACGCCTGACAACATCAACGAGAGAACCGTAAGCAATTTCTCACTATTATTATGTGTTGAATTATAGTCTAAATTTGCACCATTTGTCTTATTTTTACATGAGAATTCACTCGCATAATTGAATGTAGACATGTTTGTCGCATATCATGTTTATGACATTAGTTCTGGAACTCGTTAATCGCGACTAATTATTATAGCAAGTACTTCTTGTATTTGATGCTAAGTGGTAGTCGTAGATTGCGCTTCTTGCACATTTACTACTTGTTTAGTATGCATTATTGGATAAATTTGCACAGGATAAAATGAGAAGACTTCTTAATAATATAGAGTCTCACATACCAATATGCTATTAGTCTTGATTATATATTTTCTGCGCATTTAGTGTTGTCATTTAAGTAATACATGCCAAATGTTGGTGGGAATACACATGTTTATAGCTACAATAGGAAGTTTATAAGTCGAAATCCAGTAATTTAAATTTTGTCGTGTACTCAAGAATTTTTTGAGGTATCAGAATTATTAGAAAAGTTGAAACCTTTATACTTGGAGTGACGTACACGCTTAACATTGAGTGTTTGTCATAGTCTAGATTAGACTCTTGCCTCATTGCCTTCAGTAATAGAGCATTCAAATCTAAGTCACACTTAAATAAATTGGTATTCTATCGTTTTTTTACATTTAGCTTTCCATGGCATTTCTCTCGAATCTCTCCCATTCTCGGTCCTTCATCTCACTACTTGCCCCTCTCTACCTTCTTGACCAGTTGACCAACACAACTTCAATGGATTTGTTGATGGGGATTCGTCGATCGTGTAAAAATTTAAAATCACGAAAACAAGAGGAAGGAGTATAAACTTGACCTCCCAAAAACAAAACAATGCAACATATGAAATAATGAGGAAGTATTACTTCCTATATAGAGAAAGTAAGTGAGAAACAAGCTAACGTCCTCTAATATTAGGAAGTTCATATTTGTTAATCTGTACAAGAGCATGAAGTTGTCGTGTAAGGTCAAGAGGTCCATACTCCTAATAATGGTGCTTATCCCAACCTTCGGATGCAGCAAATTGGCAACCTGCATTCCGTCGCTGTAAGTGTGGAAAACAAGAAAACAATACCACGATCAAATAAGAGAAAATGGCTGTGAGAATAATCTGAATTTTCCATGGTTTTCTACCCCTAGTGATGCAAAAACAACCATGGACGAGTCTACTTCCACCCAGATGTCTGATAACTAAAGTAGTCGAGCCAATAAAATCTCATCCAAGATAGCCCATAACTCTAGCTCTAGTATAAGGCAGTTTCCATATGATGAAGAGAAAGTACTAACGCAATGTCCATCTTGATCATGAATAATGCCCCATTATTAGCATAATCATCCTTGATGTATCCATCGATGTTGATCTTATAAGATCCCACCGGTGGAGTACACCAAAAAACTAACATAAGGGGTGTGGGTGGAGGAAAAGTTAAAGAAATACCAAAAAGTGAGGCAATAGTTAAGTACCCTTGGCCAAAATAAACAACCTATGTGGATGAGGTAGACTCTCCAAATGATTTGTCTAGGCTCCATGCATATTTTCCTATGCTTTGCATCCTTCATCTCAGTTCTTAAGAACCAAATATCAACGGATGAATGATAATACGAATGTGTCCCTTTCGGACATATTGGCCCAAGTATCTCCATCTCTTAGCTACCTTCTTCACCCTGTGTTCCCGTGTCGAATTTGTTTTCTTTCTCTATGTAATTTAATCTTTAGCTTCCCAATCCTTGTTGTTTCTTCCTGTGAATGCTGCAGATATCCATACATGATGTGTTGATTATAAGAGGAAAATGTGGCGAAGAGTGATCGCCAAATTTCATCAGTCACAAACTTAGAAACTTTTACTTTATATAACCTTGAGAGTATGATTCTCACGTGGCATTGAATACCGACAATGGCTACCATGGTCCAACCATTTCTAAGCTGAACAACCATGTGTATTCCATGGTCTATTTTTGTATTAAAACAGCTCTATCAAGCATGGAGGCATGATGGAAAGTGGATTTTTTTCGTTTGTGTCATGCTGAATGAAAAGTAGTCCATTTCATAAAGATAAACATGGACAGTAACCCTATTAATAAGGAATGACGGGGAAATAGCAACAGCCATTTTGTCTCGAATCATGGTCGTCAAACAAGTGAAGTGACCATTTTTTGACCCCAGAAAAAGGCCTGTCAAGAGTACTCTTTTGATTCATTCTATTGGCTCTGCTCATCCTAATAGATAAGATATCTTCCACATTTAAAAACATGATGAAGCTCTTCTATTTTAAAAAAATTCAGAACAGAACAAGAACAAGAGTTCAACTATTCTCTATCATTGTAGTTCCATAGTTACTAGACCTGATCCAAGCATTGACCGGCCAAGGCAGTGACACTAGTTAGACTGGTGGGTCATTGCTTAGAAAATCATGTAAAGTTGAAAGTGATCCAAAAATCGGAGGTGTAACAAATTAATGAATTACGTATTCGATAAATGAAAAGTTTTAAAATGTGCTCTTCTAGTTTTGTATTTGATGTTGAATTTATATTTAATATGCACAGGGATCAAAAAAGGTTTGAAATTACTGAAAAGAGAATAAATATATCTCTTTAATAACATGGTATTTGGTGCTATGGAATCCTTGCCAATTCTTATAACGGTCATGGGATCGAAATTTCATCCTTGCATGTTATGCTAATTTATTTTTGAAATGGTCAACTACTTTCTAATCTGGGTCAAGGTCGATTACGTCAAACCTGCCGGTATACCTGGAGTTTTTGACCAATTAGAATGAAATCTGGTCTAGCACACTGGCTTGGGCTGGTTAACAGTCGCAGGTGGTTAGTTTCTGGACCAACCGATTTGGTCTGGGTTTATGAGCTTACTAAATTTGGTCTCACTACCATCCAAGTAAGCCATTTAAAATTAATGTAAATCTAGTTAATGTGCTTTTTAGAAGATGAACACGCGTTGTCACATGAATGCAGAGCAGGATAATAAGATCCTAAAGCCTAGCATTTAACTTGCCAATGAGATTAATATTGTTTCTTCTGCATTTAGACACTTCATCTTCTATATATGTAAGTAATCACTGTTTATTGCAGTATGAAATTGCATTATATAGTTTGAAAAATAATAACTTGGAAATTGAAATAAGATGCAGTCTGCAGGAGTGCTGTCGGTGGAATACAGTATAAGCTTATGAAATTGTTTTGGGACGTTATTTATGTTTTTAGGTCTAGTGGTTTCTAATTTAGTTGTCATTGTTGGAAGTTTCTTATAATCATATTACCATGCCTATATGAATGCTAATTGTCTTCTTTGAGTGGAAAGCACTGAATATTAGTACTACTTTTTTATCAGTTTTTTGTAAGAAGCATCCTAGAGGTCAGAATCTCACAAGTGCCACAAGAATAGTGTTTCTCTTATCAACTCAATCAGTTTGTAATTAATTGGTGATCGCCAAATGCTTCTTGAACGTAGATTCATTGCAAAATTGACATTTTAGTACTGATCGGTATTTCATTGGGTTCAATCTGTGAATTTTCCCTATCTTTGTTCTGAAGACATGAGTATTGTCATTACCAGAAAATATACTTTTTATTGCCCGAAATGATAATGATCCTTTTTTGATATTTGATGTACAGGCTAATGTACAGAGTCTGTCTTCAACAAATCTAGCACAGCACAACTTGTGGACATGCAGACAATTGTTCACAGTTCGGCTTTTCTATATGGTTTTATTGATTTATTTTATCATTTTGCACAAATTGAGTAGATGAACAAAGATATCCATGCCCCGAGAGTTTTTCCTGGAAAAGGCGAGGATTGCTGCAGAATAGTTCGTTGTTCTATATAACCTAATAAAAACAAATCACGATTTTGTAAGATTTGCTGGAAGGATGGAGAAAAAGGAGTGACAGAGAATGAATAAGCAAAAAAAAATTAGCAGGTGACGGTCAAGACAGGGTACACAAGATAGTTATTAGTCGTAAAGGAAAATTATGTAAATTCCTATAGAAAAAAATGGAACGGATAGATACAAGCTAGAGAGCATATGTGGCTCGGAAATCCATACCTGAGAAAATAAGTAACAGAAAAGGAAAGAAGTCGGTTTGATGCTACTGAACCTTGTTGCTTGTAAATATTATATATTTTGTTCACCTATCAAAAAAAAAAAAAATTATATATTTTGTTCGACTTATAGATGTAAATCTTGATAGTTTCCTTTTGAGTTGTGTATATATAATGGCAGTGTGCCACCTTCTATTGTCGTTTATATGTTCATGTTATTTATCTATAAGATTTTACGTTTTTTTACGGTAAGATATCAATTTTGTTAGATGCCAGATTCGCCTTTTTTAACATACTCCGTTTGCATACTGTTTTACTCATCTTGTTTGGGAGTGATTTTTTGGCCCAAAAAATTGATTTTTTGACCGTTATTTCACTATTACAGCCGTCATATTTGACTTTTTCTTTCACAGGTGGACTCCACTTTTCTCATAACAGTCAAAAAATCAATTCTCAAAATCACTCCCAAACAGTTTTATGTTTTCTGCATTTTCACATGATTATTGGGGTCCTTTTTTTAGTCGCTTTTGGATCATAATTTTTCCTTCTCTAGCTGAATGTAAAAGATATGCTAGACGGGACAATACCGAAGAGATTTGATAGAAAATAAATTTTTTAGGTTCTTTCAGCTTGCTAAACATGTTTCAATAGCCTTGCCCAAGTTGAGGATTGAGTTTAGGAATTGAAATTTCCTTGTGTCAGGGCCATGGCAACTACTAGGATCAGGAGTATAAATATTTGAGGCAAAAATTGGATTTAATTTTTCAAAAAATAGAATCTAAAGCTCGAAGATTTATGACTTTATGCACAAAACAGTCTTTTACATGCAAAGTTGGGAACGTTGCAATGCAAGTTAACCAATACTACAAGACAGTTATTCTAATTAGATTGATCGAATATGGATGGTAAAAACGCGAATGAAATAGCAACAATACTATGTGCTATCAAATCATATTCTAATCATTGTAATTTCAATTTGAAATTTTTATTGTTATTTTTTTTTATATAGAAATTGATATTGCTTTAAAAAATAATTTTATTTGGTGTACATTATGGTTGACAATTTATTTATTTATTTTTTTTACACTGTGAGCTGGCATACAATTTTGCCAAGGGTTGATGCATTTGTACAGGCCAAGCTTGATAGCTCGGCTGACACTCTCCTCACAAGGGTGAGGGACCCGTGTCCAATAAAATAATGCGCGGACCCCTCCAATGTAAGTATAATATACATCAAGCTTTTAAGCTCGATGTACTTATAACATGATTCTTTTGCTAGAATTATGTTAGTTGTACAATTAGAGTTGACAACCATTTACATGAGGTCGTGGCCCCTCTTTTTATGATATGTTGTCAACTCGATTGTACAAGTAGCAAAATTCATTTTGCTATTGAGGCTTGTGAAGGGGTCCAGCTTAGCCTGGGCCGACTCCGAGCCCGTTAACATTTGATTTAAAATGGTGTCCCACCAATCCATGCCCTTCTTATTTTAATCCACAACCATTCAATCCAACGCAGAAAAAAAAAAAAAAAAATCTGAATTTGTTAAGGTCAGGTCTACGTTCATGGAGATGAATATAGAATACACATACTGTAACTCTCTCTGTGCGAGCAATGGCAGCTCTCGAGTCTTCCAATTTTGCACCTCGATTCAGCTCGCACTTCACGTTAAACTCCAATAGAATTCATCCTCGCAAACCATTTTCGAGTAAATTTGGGGAAAAATTCAACCGGAAAACACTTAAGTGTTCTCTTGTCGAAAAACAAAAAAAGGAGGATAAAGAGGTTTCTAGAGTGTTTACCAAGGAAGAAAACGCGTTGATCGATGCTCTTATAGGAATTCAGGGCCGCGGCCGATCTGCTTCTCCTCAGCAACTCCAAGTACGCCACTATTTTAACAGAGAGACTTGTAGAATCATGTCTAAAAGTTTACATTGCCAAAGAGATTATATTTATTTATTAAACTTAACGTTCTATGTTAAATTTCGGCTCGTTAATCCCTGAATTTGCAATTTGATTGCAAAATCGTAAATTTACAAGGAAGCCGATTGGTTAACTGAAAAAAATATAGAAGTGACAAATTGCAGTTTAAAGTTGAATTTTTCCGTCTTGGAGCTTGTTATCATAATGAAACTTCAGGAACAAAATGAACTAGTCGAAATATTAAGTGAAAAAGCCAATTTTTTGAAATTCTAGGAACTATTGTGACCACCCTAAGAATAATAGCTGCATGAATCCCACTAATAGTTTTTTAAGACTTCCCAAAAAAAAAGGAAAAAAAAAAATCAAAATTCAAAAATCAAAAATTTTCTTCTTGAAGTTTTAATTCAAGCACTTTTAGACACCATTGTTTTGATTTTATCATAATTGCTCAGTTTGGTGTTGTAGAAATGCAAATCCCTTTTTGTCATTGAATTTCTGAAAAGGTCGTCTAAATAATTCAGGTCGATTTGTCATATTCGTCACATATTTGTTTGTATATTTATTATTGTAACTTAACAAATCAGTTTAGATAATGACACTCTTAAATATTAGGAGCCAATGTATTGAAATCGAAAAGATGAAGTTGAAACTGAAATTAGAGCACTTCATGGACATTTATCAAGCTGCATTTTTTCTTGAAGATATCAAATATTAGTTCTTCTCGATCAATTTTCTGTTTTCCCATTTCTTACTCCTTTCCTGTTGCATATGGAAACCAGTTCAATATGTGAAAATTTTAAATTATGCAGGAAGTTGAACGTGCAGTGCAGATCCTAGAAGTTCTGAAAGGCACGTCTGATCCAGTGAGTAATGATGTATTTTCAATGGTTTATTCGTGTGATCACAAGTTATAATATTAGATGATAATCTGTGCATTGTGATGCTGAGCGAGAATGTATTGACTGGACAGACAAGTTCAAGTTTAATTGAAGGTCGATGGCAGTTAATGTTCACGACAAGACCAGGAACAGCATCTCCAATTCAGGTGAAATTTCCTATTACTGGGATTACTTTAGTTCCTTTACTGGAAGTTCTCTGTCACTGCGTTTCATCTTTGAATAATGTATCTCTATTTTTTTCCTCAAATTCATACTTCTGTCCTTCCTCTTGGCAACTAGAACTAAATTTTCAAACTTCATTCTCAAGTTTCCTTCTCCATTGCACATTATATTAGTTTCTTCTACTGACAACTAACAGCATCTCCAATTCAGGTGAAATTTCCTATTACTGGGATTACTTTAGTTCCTTTACTGGAAGTTCTCTGTCACTGCGTTTCATCTTTGAATAATGTATCTCTATTTTTTTCCTCAAATTCATACTTCTGTCCTTCCTCTTGGCAACTAGAACTAAATTTTCAAACTTCATTCTCAAGTTTCCTTCTCCATTGCACATTATATTAGTTTCTTCTACTGACAACAATGGATTAACAAGTAATGATTTTATGTTTGTGAAGCAGGAAGCATTTTCATTGGTAACAAGTGTCTCATTATTCTTGTAGCAACTAGTTTTAGCTTTCAATGATAACTAGCCAGTTTTTTATCCTGATGCAGAGAACGTTTGTCGGGGTTGACTCCTTTAGTGTATTTCAAGAGGTATATCTTCGAACGGATGACCCACGTGTGTCCAATGTTGTAAAGTTCTCTGATGCAATTGGTGAGCTGAAAGTAGAGGTATGACGTCATTATCATTGGCAGTTTCGAAAATATTCCCATAAACAATACTTCATGTTCACTTTTTGCACTTACTTCATTTGGCACTATGTTTAAAACTGCACCATGGAATCTTGGCTGGATGTACAAGTGATATAAGAGTGTTATAGATCATTTTGGCTTTGCTGATTCTCTTTTTACTTAACACACGCATATTTAGTACTTGAATACCTTACAATATGCATCTTTTCTTTGTTTTGGTCAGGCAGTGGCATCAGTTAAAGATGCCAAAAGGATCCTTTTCCAGTTTGATAGAGCAGCTTTTTCTTTTAATTTTTTGCCCTTCAAAGTCCCATATCCTGTACCTTTTAGACTTCTTGGAGATGAAGCTAAGGGCTGGTTAGATACTACATATTTGTCTCAATCAGGAAACATTCGTATCTCACGTGGAAACAAGGTAAAGCAGGCTCATAATTTTCTTCTTTCAACTATAATTTTTTTCCGTGATAGCATCTCTTTAGCGCACGCTTTGGCTAGTTTTATTTCTGAAAATCTATATAGTAGGAACTAAGGACAATTAGTTGCAATGATGAAGCGCAGGGAACCACATTTGTGCTGCAAAAAGAAACTGAACCAAGGCAAAGATTGCTATCAGCCATTTCCACTGGTAGAGAAGTCAGAGAGGTTTATTTCCACAAAATGTGTCCAAAAAGAATTGTTTCTGGTTCTAAGAAATTATGTTAATCATATCTGTTTCATTCAATAACCATGCGCTGATGTACACACCATATGCAGGCAATTGATGAGTTCATCACCTTAAATCAAGATGTGGTTAAAAATGAATTGGAACTTCTTGAAGGAGAGTGGGAAATGATTTGGAGTTCACAGGTAGTTTAAAGATAGAATACCCTGTGAATTATTTGAGGAATCTGGAAACTATGCCTTTGCTTGGGTTTCATTTTTTCGCTAAAAAGTTCGTTTTCAAATTCAAAACATTTATTTGAACCACACATTTAATAGGATCCACAAGTACCATCCACTTATTTCTACCAAAAAAAAAAAAAAACCTCAAACGAAGGCTATATAACTTTTTTTTGGGTACTTGTTCATTCTCAGAAGCTCCTAGTCTTGGCCATAGAATGGCATAACTAAAGCTAAATTTAAATGCTTGACTAATTGAAATGTATTGAAAGCAAAACATCAATATTAAAGCTACAGTTGGACTCTCATTTGTTGCAGGTGGAAACTGATAGTTGGATAGAGAATGCTGCAAATGGTTTAATGGGCAAACAGGTGCCATCCAGACCATCCTCCACATCTTTATAATATTCTTCTTGGCATTGTTTTTTATTTTATTTTATTTTATTATTATTATTATTATTGAATTCACGATCCCATTCGTTCTCAATTGTCTCGTTATTTTCTCCTTTTATGTTGGCACTCTAGATTGTCAAGCCAAACGGAGACTTGAAGTTTCTTGTTGACATATTTTTCGGGTTCAAATTTTCCATGACTGGAAAATATGTGTAAGCTCTCTGCGACAGACTTCCTCACTCTCCAGCAACAAACATATAGTGTTATCACAAGTATATAATAACATTTGATTCATCATTGTATAATTCTAAACAATTACACACACTGACACTTGAATTCGACAAATTGGGAAACAAGCACATGAATAATATTTCTTCATTCCATTTTGTACGAATCTTTGAGCAACTACAACAGGTCATTTTAGTTTCGGCCTACCCCACCCTCTTCTATCTGGCACTGCATCACTCTAATGAAATGGAAACTCTTTAAGAAGGATTCATAATGTAAGATTTGATAAAATTTTACACTGATTGTCAACTTATCGTTGATCAACTGTGGAAAACTTGGTCGGAGTTACGTAATTCTAATCAATAATGGCATCATGTTATTGGTTTTCAGGAGATCTGGTTTCAATACATATGATGTTTCAATGGACGATGCAGCAATCGTGGCTGGTCCATATGGCCTCCCGGCAGAAATGGAAAGCAAGTTCACACTGGAATTGCTGTGAGAAATTTAATTATTGTTATTGATATTAGGCTGGCCAAACTTAATCACTTACACTGCGTTAATTTTCTTCTTCCCTCTGAACGTGCAGGTATACTGATAATAAAATAAGAATCATTCGAGGCTACAACAAAATTCTTTTTGTTCACGTCCGTGTCAAATGAGAGGGAAACAGTTGGCTATTGATGCATTTGATAAGGTAGACCACATAACATTGGTAGTGTATGTGTATGTCAATGCACACTAAACATGGACGCCGTAAACTTTTTAGCTTTAAATTGTACATATTAGATAAAACTTGAGATTGAGACATTGAGATCAAATATTCTGTGTATAATTGTATTATGTTGCTAGATCAATGAACAGCAAAAGTAAATTTTCTTGCAAAATTGTCCACCATGCCAAGGTTTCAGTGAAAATGAAAAACTAAAAATGCCCGAGCTAGTTTGATGTCTATCATCGACTTGCACTTTCATTTTCGATAGATGTACAACATTTTACAAGTATTTATGTTTTCTTCCCACACTTGAAGCTTGTTTTTGTGGGATAATATATAGATACCTATATACTATTTCACGATGGAAAATGAGTGCATGTGGAATTTCAAGGGACTCCTGCAACAAGCGGAAAAAGGGGATTCTGTAAGGGTTCGTATAGAATTTGGGTAAAACAAATTTCAAGAAATTGAATTGTCTAAAAATTGATTTCCTAAAAATTGTAAATTATTGTATTTGATTAATATAATTTTTTTCATGAAAAATATTAAAATAAAAATATTTTTTGATGTTCGTTTAACTTTATTTTACATGAAAATTATTAATTAAAGAGATAAAATTTACTAGTATTTGGGTACATAATTTGTTTCCATTGTCCAAAAAAAAAAAAAGGCCAATAAAATCATCTATTTTTTTGTGTTCATTTGACTTTGTTTAACATGTAAAGAAAAATGTTTTTTTATAATTAGACATAGAATTTTTTCCCATTGCTTAAAAAAATAATAATAATAATAATAAAAAGATAAAATAAAATAAAAAGTTGCCAGAAATTCCAATTCTTACCAAACTCGTCAAGAATTGGAATTCCAAGAAAAGAAGGAAAACTGGCGCGTGGGGGAGGCGGGAAACTTGGAATATCAATTCCATGAAAAATATGTGCCATCAAACAATGATAAGATGAAAAATGGAATTCAATTTTCACTTTCCATGAAATTCATGACCAATCAAACAGGCCCTAAGTTCCCTTGTCCATACTTTGCCTTTCCCACTTCTTGAATGGAAGAATCTGCATATCACTACAAATTGTTGAAGCCTTATCGTTGAACGTCGGCGAAAAGGTATTGGTAAATATGGCCTTATTCTTAGATGACATTAATTTTGTTCATTCCGAGCACGAAACACAAATTTCCTTCATCTGTATATTAACTCATATTAGTTGCTTCAAAACTTGACATGGCCTTTCTCCTTTTCATTTTCTAGCTGTAACAAGAAAGTGGACGTTTCAGTACGGTGTCTGTGCTGCTTTTTCAAGTCCACCACCAACTTACCACGAGTTACAAAGTCGCGAAGCTACGGTTTGCTCAAAAGCAATCAAAGGAAAGAAAACATCATAGGCAAACTAGGCCCTGTTTGATACAGTAAACACCTCCAGAAAATTATCCAAACAAATGCAAAACAGCTTAGTTTCAAAGCAGAACCTGGAAATGGACACACAGTGAATAGTAGTAGTTCCTACGTTATAGCATTTTGCAAAGGGTAGTAGCATTTTTTTCGAGTCACTTGGTTTTGATCGGATCATGGCCTTCCAATCTTGTGCAGTCTCTTGGGCGATACATGCTTTGCCTCATCCGACATAAGACCTGTCTATAAATGCAACAAGAAACCAAATCTATTACTAAACTACCCATGCCTTCCATCTGACTGATTCATTGCGTTGTATGCAATTATACTTTAGGCCCTTTGACTAAAACATTATACGCAATCCATATACAATTAACAAGTAAAAAACTCTCAACAAGTTACCCCATTTTCTTGGCTATATGCAATTGTAGTTTAGGCTCCTCAATGAAATGTAAACTGCAATTCCATACACCCAGATTTCATACTGCACTTAAAGAAACTGTATTTGGACAGAATGGATAAAAATACACCTAAGAATAACTCAGCATGGTAATCGACTGCTTCCACAATGACAAGACAAATCTAAAAATAACATCCTCGGGAATTCATAAACCTAAAAATATATCACATTCTTGGGAATTCATACCGGTGATATGAACACGTGCAATATCAATAAATACTACAAATTGTACAGCATTATAGATACAGAAATAACACTGTTATCACAATTTTAAGCTTCAAATTCCAAGATTCAGTACCAAGGAGAGTACACATTTTATGTCTTCAACAGAGATCTTCATGGTGACATGGTCATTCTGTCTAGAACTTATAACAGCCCCCACAGCACCCAAAAATAGAGACAAATAAAAACTGAAGAAAAATCTAAGGAAAGACTATCCACCACAAGACTTGAGCAATATGAAAACAAATAAGAACCAGTTCTTTTTACTTGATAGACTAAGAATGTAGAAATTTATGGACTATCTACTCAGAAGCTTGTATGTTCTAATACCCACTACTTGCTGAGGACTCAATTCTCAAGACACTTCTCCGAAATTGCTTTATCCTCTACATGCCCAACCTCTTCCATACAAACATTTACACCTACTGTTTTATGCTCAGATGCACCAATAACATTATTCTCAACCTTCACCTCCTCATCAACATAATTGTTCTTTTCAATGTCATTCTCTTCTTCTTCTTCAACGCTTACAATGTTCTCCTCAGTTTTACTTTCTTCAGCAAACTCATCACCGTTTTTATCTTCTTTGCCATTAGCATTTTCTATGTTCTCATTTTTATCAGCATCAATAAATCCATCATCATTATTCTCTACTTTCACTTCAATGTCTAATATAACATTTTGATCATGCACAGCTTCTGCTTCTATACCCACATAACCACGATTATCCACATCTTTCCCATTGAAATCTCCATCTCCTACAACATTTTCTTCACCTAAATCGTCATTGTTCTCTTCCGTGGAATGGGTTTCTTCACCATGACTCACACTCTCATTCTCAGAGTCATTCTCCACAAGCTCCTCATTGATGTCCTCACGTTCTCCAAGTCCCCTTCTCCTCTCAAGACCCTGCAACCTCCTCCTCAATTCCGCAAACTCTCTCTCCATCAGAAACAACCTCTCCTTCAGAATCAGATTCTCCTCCTCCAACTGTGCAATATGTGTGTCCTGATCATCAACTCGATTCTCCAACACATTGTGGTACTCCATCCCACCAACATTTATGCCGTTTGGATTATAAATCATCTCAAACCGGCTCAAGTCATGGTCCAATCTCCTTTCCATCTCAACATGCTCCTCCACATCACTTTCGCTAGAACCTCCATCATCTTCCTCCTCATCCTCATGACCATCCAATTCATGCCCAGGTGATCTCAATCTAATCAACCCTTTCATTGATCCATACCCATTGACACCCCACTCTTCCTTGGCCATATCCACGAAAACCTCCCTTGATGGGGAAAAAATCGGGGTAGGCAGAACCGCAGGTGTCACAGGGCACGGAGAAACCAAAGATGCAATCCCACCACTCTTCTTTGCCCTAATTATATAGGAACTAGTGTTTCTGGGTGCAAAGGGAGCAGACCTACTATTGTTCTTATTATTACCCATATTTGTATTCATGCTATTCTTGTTGAACTTCTTTTTCGAAAAGAATTTTCTCGTCTTCAATCGATTCTGATGCTGTAACTCATTTACAGTGGGCGGGTTATAGTTATTAAAATTTAAATTCCCACTGATACTAATACCACCACCAGGCGCCCCAGTGCTAGAGCCGGCCATTAGGACTTTCTGCTGCTCCATCCTCCGCTTATCATTCTTCACATTTTTCCCCTTCCAGTTGTTCCTTGGGCCCAACGGCTTAGATGACTTGCCAAAAGGCAACGAGGGCTGTTTCCTGCCGGAAAGACCGTTAGCGTTAGGGTTTTGGAATTGCAGTTGTGGCTGCATAGGCGGGGCCCACATCCCGTAGCTCCGATTTATCACCTGGGAACGAGACCGAAAATTCATCAGATTATTCAACTTCCAGATTATTGGAAATAATCAAACTACTTTTCCGGACAAGTAAAAATTACTTGTTGCTGCGGCTGATTCATTTGACTCATATTAATCATCTGATTTTGATTCGCATTCATCATTTGCTGCTTCTGTTGCGGATTCATCATTGTTGCTTGCTCGTTCATTTCTATAATCTGGAGATAAGAAATTCACAACAATCGTAAACAAACGTCAATCGAACTCCAAAAAATCAACAATCCGAATCAGGTTTAGATCTCTCTTAAGATATCACGAATTTTAATTTTTACGTCTGACTTTGGAAAGTCCAAAACAAGAAAAAGAAAAAAAAGAAATCAATCAATCAACAAAATCTAAAAACTGGAAATACAAAATCAAACTCAAACTGACACTATAAAATTATCTGCAGCAACTGAAATTGAAATCAAAGTCGAAATCAGAGAAGCGAAATTGTAATTTCTACTCCATTCTTTTTTCTTAATTATTGATTCTCTCCCTCGAATTGTCGAAGTTTAATGTTTATGGGTAAGGTGGTTTATATAGTCGTGGGGGAGGAAACGTACGGTTTGGATCACTGTTTGACAAATGGACGGATGAAAATTCCATATCTTTGTCAAACTTAGGGTAGGAGTAGCAATTGACCTCTGATCGAGACTAAATTACAATTCTACCATTACCATTGGGGATCGGGATGAGTTAACGGCGTTTTCTTTTTAATATGCTCAACTGTTTAATTCTGTTTGTTTTACGGATGGGATGTGAATGTCCCTTGTAAGCACGCTAAACGTGAACGGTTACAATTTCATTAAGCTTTTGTAATATTCGTTCTAGTGTTGAATATTTTATAATTGCTTTTAAGTCCCCATTTGCGGACATTAAATTCCATTACATTCATCTCATTTTTCTCTCCTATTTTAAACCACAAAATCTTCCATAAAATAATATCACACGTAAATCGAAAACCTTTCCTTATTTTTCAATTACTTATCTTTCAAAAAAATATTAATCCACCCATTCTATTTCTAGAAAATGGAGGCCAAACGGGGGCGAAATCTTAAACACGAAATCCAATTTTTTTTCCCTTTCTAATATAGTTTCAAACTTGTAAGCATGCATAAGAATCAAAATAGGAGGAGATCCCACCATAGCATCAAGTAACAAGAAAATTGTGAAAATTTAACAATTGCACCAAAAAAAGTCAAGTATTACTAGTCAAATCAATGAATCCGTATTTAAAAATTACTAATTAAACTATTTGAATAATTTGCTTGCCTTTTCTATTTTTTCGATTAGAAGTAATCACAAATCTAATAAAGTTCCTGTTTGGTATGAATTTCTTAGAATTCATTTTTTTCTAACACATTTTCAATTACAAATTCTTTTAATAAAATAATTTTACACGTAAATTCGTAACATTTCCCTATTTTTTAACAACACACTCCAAAAAACAACTGTACTTTTATCTCAAATTACACGCGCAATAGTGTATATTAGAAATAATCAGTTTGAGAAGACCTCATTTCTCTGCATAACTTTAAATGAATTTTAGGCTATGTAAAGGAACTAAAATAGAAAGATATCAACTAAAGCAGCTATCTTTTACATCACCTAATAAAAGCCAAACAGCCACATAATATCATCACATGCCAGTGTTCGGGTTGTTTCCAGCAAGGATAAGAGAGATTTCCAGCCCTCGACTGAACGCTTGGTTGAACATAAGTCGGGTCTGGAATGTTGAAGCAAATGGAAACCATGAAAACAACGCAACTGGGATGAAAATAAGCATCCCCATTCCAGCATCGTATAGACGAGCAATTGATCTTATGGACTTCCACAACCCCAATTTCTTCATCAAAGGCTTCCAAGCGCAAGCAATCTACAAAAAGACAATATGTAGGGGTAAAGAAGGAACCTACAAGCATTGAATCAAGTCAATGAACATTAGCAAATAATACTATCACCTTGAACGACACTATCTTCCTAGCATTTACTCTTTCTCAAAGCAGGCACATGAGCTGGGATTCAGATGGGTAGGGTCCCAGTTAAGTAATGCATGAGGATGTTGAGGAATAGGTTACCAAAACACTTGGGTGTTTTTGGTACTAGGAACTTGGGTGTTTTCGGTACTAGGCTATGCTATTCTTATAGAGAAATCAAAGAATATGTTACTCAAAGGTAAATTTGAATAGAGAAATCAAAGAATATTTACTCAAAGATTAATTAACAAATTCATTTAAGACTGAAATGGAAAATCTGTAGGATAGCTATAACATCTGTTGGGGTAATACGGGACCAAAATGTTAAAGACCATTTAGAATTTAGAAACATCATCTGTGTGACTGAGATGAATTTATGACATGGTTAGTCATACCTAATGAAGACCCCTAGATGTATAGATTAGGAAAAGCAACGTTATCTAGAAAAAAAATGGATCACCTAAAATTATAGGAGATTATAAGAGAATTGGCACATAATTTGAAGATGGCCCTTGATAGAGCAAAGCGGAAAAAGCTGATCCATATAGCAGGCCATTAGCATGAAACCACATGTTGTTGAGTAAGCAATAACATATGCACACGATCAAGCCCCGAAAAAACAAAAAATAAAAAAAATGCAACTCCATATAGTTAAAAGGAAATGTTCCATGATCCAGTCACTTGCTCTAATCATTAAATTTCAAGCAGGTGATGGGAGATTGGCTTTTGAACCACTGCCATCTAAAAAATATAAGGGTAATAAAAAAATCCGCTACTTTTTCAGTTAAAAACTTAAAAATGATCCCAAGTCACGTGCAGCAGTATTTATTTTTAAGAAGTGAGTGCAGTATGTTGGAGAGTTTGTTAGAGGGAAAACTTCCAATGAATTAATTATTAACACGAGAGTTAGAAAACTTACGCATAGAATTCCCCATCCCGTGGGTAAAAAAGCCAAGATGCAAGCGAATATGTCAGTAATAGAGAGATCAGAAAGTGCAACAGCAACAGCCAAGCCAGCCAGTGCAAGCAAAAACGAGAGACCTTGGATAAACCGCAGCAGCAGCTGAAAATTAACTGAGATCTTCTGACTAAAGGTGAAGACCTGTGGAAACAAAAACAAAACCTCAATTCGACAAGAGTCGCTTATAAAAGGTAAGGTGTCACTACCAATTATAAGTTTCAAGATATAAACCTTGAAAAGAATTATAAGCACAGCAAACACTATCCATGAATATCCGTACGCCTGCAAATAATTGCATAATATGACAATTAGTTAATTCACCAAACAGCTTATTTATGTAACATAACAAAAAACATTAAGTAGTGGGCTTAGAAAGGAAGTGGAAAATTAGTTAGATCAGGGGGTGCTGTAGCAAAACTGACTGCATTAAGAGGGGAATTCAGAATAATCTTTACTTGAGCTTGAACTATACAATTGTTTTGCCTATTGAAGTCTGGCTCTCTCTCTCTCTTACAAAAATAAATAAATAATAACAATAAAAATAATAATAATAAATAAATAAAAGCTATTCACCACAAAAGCTCGAGCCTAACTCTGCGATTAAGTTAAACAAGCCCAACATGAACCAGGCTTACATATTATATTTACATCAATAAATATCATGAACCTAAATATGTGCAGAGGCAATCATTAAAAAATACAAATAGAAATTTATAGACTTCAAGTTTAAATATTTTTGATTACCAATTTCTTGTAAAATAATAGAATTTCTATTTATTTTTAAAAAATAAATAATAATATAAATGTCTTCTATGTAAAGTAAGCTTAAATTTGAGATAGCTGAACGTGGAACAGTTGTGGTCAATTTACACCCATGTCACACCATTGTGTTGGGATTCTAAGTTTTCAATCAATGTCTGCGCATTTGGGTCTCTTTCAGAGTCAGAAATTAAAGCAAATTAGGAAAAGAATGCTTCTGCTCTAAACAATAATAAAAACCATCGTCTCATAATTATGCAGCCCAACATGTAGGATAAAACACATAATTTAATAAGCTTAACAAATAGTAGCTGACTCACAAAACTAATTTACCAGAGCTTCTAAATCAAAAAGGTAAAATAATTGAAGAAAAGAGAATATATTTCTTGATTGTGTTCCTCATTTACATTGAGACAGGGATCACGAAAAAAATCTGAGACTCAAAAAGCCGTTATGACAAATTGACAAAACATTTTAACATAGCACCAGGCAATAGCTTGTATTTACATACACGCACAAAGTGTAACAAGTGAAGCAAAACCTGAACTCAAGCAGTCCTGATGGGTATAACTATCACAAGCCAAAAGATGATAGGGAATTTCTCAGCAAGCAAAAGAATATAATAGCCAAAGACAGCTTCGGAACAATGAGCTCCACAACATTTCAGATGGAACTTTGCATCTATATCAAAATGGTTCTGAAGAAAAAATAATCTCACTGAAGGAAAGATATAATACCGTCAACGATGTATCATTTCCCTGTACATCTAACTTGTAGACAATACCGTACTGGAATATAAGAAATCGTAGGCTTAGAATGGTCTCCATCAATCTCCCACTGAATGTTCGAATATGAGACTGCAAAAGTAAAAAATACAATAAAATACAAACAAAACAAAAACAAAACAAAACAAAACAAAATAAACTTAAGGACAGATTGGTTAAGGGAACACACTAAAATCTTACAACATAATAAAAAAGAACCAAAAACCGCAATGAATCAAACAAAAGAAAGAAACAAGAGTAAATAAAAATATATCTTTCATTTCCATATCCAAATTTAATGTAGAGCAGAAACAGATTTAGTAGAGAAGATTACCCAGTCCCCATTTGCTTAAAACATTACAGTACAAGAAACATTTGGATTCAACATCATTAATTCTCAGAGAACTATATTCAACAATGAAAAAGAGCTTTCTTTCAGTTTTTAAGCAAAGGACCATAACGAGAGCAACAGCTAAGAAACCAATAGAAAAAATTAATCAAGTTTGTAAAAGCAGGATTCATACCAGTTCTTCATCCCACCAAGCTTCCCAGCTTTCTTCCCCTTTAACTCCAATCCCACCTCTATAGAGAAGCCAGTTCGTCCAATCCCGAAAGTCCTCTACCGTCCTAACGACGACAATAAAAAAGGTGACTCTTGAAGCAGGACAGAGATTAGGTGGAGAAAAAGGTGAAAAACTGCAATAACTTACTTCTGCCACTCAAATCCAGACGGATTAAACAAATATGGAGCAAACAGCCAAGAAATAGCCAGGAACCAACTACTAACAGTGAGGAGTATATAGGATAATGCACCACCCTCGTAATACCCGTATGCGAGGTATACCACCAATAAAAGCACAATTTCCATTCTGAATAAATAAAGAAACATAACTATGTGAAAATTTATTTCTAGGGGGAGATATATGGAGGGCGAGGGAGGGGGAGAGGGAGAGGGAGAGACCCCTTAACAAAATGACTGCGCGAGTAAAGCCTGTAATTTTCTGTGAACTTGATGTGGCGAACTACAAATCCTCTTCCAGTTGCTTGATACTGCCAAAAATTTTGTCTTAACTTATAAGTAGACCAAATTGCGACACATCTAGGAAGAGAAAACTATTTATGAAACATACCCTAGCGCCGCCATGAAGAATAGTCCGACCAAAGTAATGTGTTCTTGTTCCCAGTGAGAAAGTAAAGAAGACAGTACAGAGCTGAAATTGCATTGTGACAAAACTTACAAAAGCCTGTGGGAGAAAATAAAAGCAAAAGAAAAGGTAGAGAGGGGTTAGAAGCCTAAAAATCATTTCCAATACAAAGAGTAACGCAATAACCAAATATGAGGAACTATGGAGAAACCTAGAAAAATATGATTCCCACCGTTCCCTTTTTGGGAAACCAACTGCTTATGTATATTGTAATAACAGTGATATTTGAATTGCATATTTATTTGCTATGTCAAATCAAAAAATTGAAATGTCATAAACAATGCTGTTCTTTTAGATTCTCAGTGTACGGATAAAGTGAGAAGTAATTATATAAAAAGTAGACATTTTGAAACACTGCAAATTTTAAGGGACACCCAAAAGGTGAAACTTAGCAATTGCCAAAGGAACCACAACTTCCAGCAACAAGCATAAACCAACATAATAGGAAGAATTGTGTGTTTTAGAGAAGGGGAAGAGGAAAACTTTTGCTTATTGAGTGAGCTTGAAAAACTTAGTCGTCACTCATTGATTTTGCACAGTTATTACTGGAAGAAGGGAAACACACACATGCATCTTCACAATCTAAAGAAAATTGCATCAATTGTATCCATACCTTCCTCATTATTGCCTAAAAGATCGACCAGAATAACTACCTTCACAAAAAAGTCAACTCCTCTTAATCCAGGTTACCATCCCATAGAGGGTTTCTCACTCAGCTCATCATGTCACATTACTACTACCTTGTATAAACAGATGAAGATCTACACGCTGGTTTACTTTAAATAACAAAAATAGTATTAGTGAAACAAAGTTCAGTTGCAAGTTTAAACTCCACTGGCAAGCCAAAATAGTTCCTACATAGACATACCATAACCCGTCCTATACAAAGAAAAGCAAACTAGATTAAATCTCCTAAATAAGGAAACAAATTAAGGACCCAGCTTGTCTAGGATTTGATTGAACAAGGAAAGTCAAATCTTTCAACTCTCTCCTTCAAGCTTGTGAGAAGATATTTCGCATTGGCAGCTTATATAGGATTTGACTAAATATAGAAATTCAAATCTTCAAAAGCGAAGAATATGAATGATTACCAAAGTGCAAGATGAGAAGAAGGCACTTCCCACTCAAAACAGAGGCCAAAGTATTGCCAAAAAGCGTCAAACAAAACTGAAATTATCATCACATTGGACCCCAAATTTAATTGGACACACAAACTCATCATAAAAAGCGTAAAGATGCTAAAGAGAGATCAATAGGACATGTTTTCTGAAGCATGCATAGCAATAAGGGGAAAAAAACAAATAGTCATAGTTTAGGGTCACATTTGGATTGATTTCACATGGCTATGCTAATATATCCCAGTGTATATGTTTCAGAAACATAGCTTCAGCCAGTTCTGTTAACAATAATAAACAATTCAATAACACAGTAAAAAACATATTAACCAGTACTTCCTGTTAGTTATAATTCATGACAAAATAATATGCTCACACACAAACATAAAAATGCCATACCCTCAAAAAACCCTGCTCTAAGATGAAACCCAAAACCATTGGCACTGCTGTAAAGACACCAATCTGAAACAGGAACTGTGCATTTAAGGCTGCACTTAAGGCAGTATTATCCGAAATTTGTGCTCGATCTTGAATGGTTTCACCAACCCCAGATAGTGCCTGTAAAAAGTTTTTGCAAATCTTAGAAGATATCATAAGAATTTAGTTCTCTAAATTCCAGAGACAAACTGCAATTTAGAAGGAAATTAGATTTAATAACACTAAAAATAAGATAATAAAGGTTCAAGATTATACACGTATTAAGTCAAAACTTACCAAATACACCCTTCCATAAAGAAAAGCATATACAGTCAGCACCGTCAGCTGCAACAGAGTTTTGTAGAAACTTGTTAGAGTTGTACCATGCAGCTATGTTTCTGATAAGTTCTCTGTTACCCGAATAAATGCAGTAGCCTTGCTAGCCATAGAGACATGACTAACATAAACATAATATCCCTCTCCCTTATGGTGCATTTAATCAGAGATAGAGAGAGGATAACATTTTTGTTAAAAGGGAAATGGATTTAAGCTGCACAATTTCATAATGTAGTATGACAACTTGGCAAGATAGCAAAGGAAGAGGTTGGCGTAAAAGAAACACATCTAACTTCAAAATAATAAATAGGACAAGGAAACCTAGTCTTTTCGTCTGCTTACCTCCGATGAGTTGCTTGGATTTAAAATGATATTTCTCAACCATGCAAGCGTATAGCTCTAATAGAAGACAAAATCTAGGAGAAAGACAAAGATCATTTTTGTTTTGTCTACATGAAATTTGATTTTGTATCCCCTTTGACAAATAAAATATTGACGTAACCGAATTTAAAACACAACGTTAGATAGGAAAGCATCAATCCTTACCCTCAACCGCACAAATCTATATTTCAACTCAACATTCTTATGACATCATTCAGTGTACTATGTCAGAAGAAATACTACACAATGGGAGAAAAAAAGAATATAAGCATGCGAGTAAAAAGAACAAGTTAACAATTATGCAAGCAGGAGGACTATGACAAAGGCTTGCAATATATAAATCCCATAAACTGACATGGTCACAGGTGGGCTTAATTGTAAGAGTACAGAGACAGTGAAAAATAGTTTCAGTAGATCAAACCAACCACATGACCACAAAGTACAAAGGTCTAAACCAACAAGACAAGAAATTAACTTTCAAAGGCGGAGATAGCTGACCATTGTACAGAAGTAGTATCCAACAGTTGTGAAGTAAAATGACAGCATCCTAAAAAAGTCAAAGAGCTGCCCAAGCCTGTAAACATCCCTACTAAGAACTTGTTCACCGTTACCACCAGCAACTTTTCCCTCAAAGAGAGCTATCTGATTCAGCCCAACATCTCTCCCCTTGCCAACCTATACAAAATTCATTTATCAGATATTCAGCAAATGTTTCCGAACTTAAGTGGCCCCAAATCATACCTGAATGTATTCATGGTGTGTAACATTTCCTTGGCGTAAAGTTGAATTGAATCCTGCATTTTTTTTCCACTAAAGGTCTCAGAAATCGGTTGAAAGCAGATAAGCTTTAACTTTATTTAAAACTAACAAAACAAGAGAAGACAAAAAGGGTATTTGGGAGAAAGGGTGCATCCCATATGCAAGTCTCATGATAAAAGATTCTCCTAACATAGCAAAATTGAAAGTCATGCACCGATAATGACTCTATATAACTTCATGGGTGGGAACAACAAAACTCTGTACAGGTAGCCAGAATAGACCTTTTCTTTTCTCCGTAATAATCAAAATTACATCCAACAACAGATGAAAATCATGAAGTATAAGATTATCTCTTAGCAACAGTACAGCTCGTAAACATCTTATTCAGCAGAGCAGTAATACCTGAAAAGATATCTTCGCTAATATTAATAACACGAGATGCTTTGCTGATACCACCTCTTGTGATGTGGAAAATTCTATCAAAAACATCTGGATGACCATAATGCATACGGACCCTAATGATAATCAAGAAATGAGCTAAAACAATTGAGTTCCAATAATTTTGATGAAACAGATAAAATTATATTGCAGACAATTTGCAAACATCATTTCAGAAAACGGATGACTCACTTTAAAGGAGTCGCCAGAACACGCTGACCAAGAGTGACAAAACTAGATTCTTGATTAGACATGAATGAGGCTAAGGAAGATACACTGCATTAATAAGATAATGAGTTAGGTTCTGTTGAAGAATAACAATAAACATTAATGCCCATATGTTATGTCAAAATACCTTCCAGTGAATATATGTTCCCTGACACCAAGAATCGTAGGAGGACGTATCCCATGATCACGATAAAGTTCTTCAAGAAGATTTCTCATTTTCAGTGCTTCCTCAAAGTAATTATCCTGAAAAATAACAAATGAGGATAATGATGAAACAAATCATCAGAGAGGCACAGAAAAATGGCGAATAAGAACTGAAAAGATAAATGCAAAGCATATGAAAACAGAGATCAGCAACATTAATGTAAAGTGAATAACATCAAGCCATGATCGTAAAAAGAGTAAAATAATTAGGAACCAGAAAGGCCTGTTAGACCCAAAAGAAAAAAAAAAGGGGTGCAGCAAGATAAAAGCTTATAACTACATCAGTAAGCCCTTGCTGTGAGCAATGAGATAAATGGGATATGGAATTTCAACTCAGTAAATAGCAACGATGAAGACATACGTAATCTAATCCAGTCTTAATATTTAATTAGCCACTGCAAAGAAGAAACAAAAGTGAGAACTAAGGTGAGAAAAGATCTAATATCCATCTGGTGCATATGAAAAGCAAGGAAGTTTGAGCTAGTACAAATATCAAGTGGACACAAATTGCAAGTGCAACTAAATTAAATCCAACAAAGATATAGTCTTTAACAAATGAAGATTATACTGTTTTCAAGTTGGTACCAGTTATATACTTAATCTCTAGTCACACACTTGTAAAAGCAATGAGTTTCTACTCTGATTGCAAATGAATGGAATTTATCTTACCAACAAATTCGTAGACATTGAAATAATGTTGAAAACTTGAAATATATGCTAAAATACAGTTGCATGCAGGTATTTATTGAGCAAGTGATGCTAGTCAATTTGCGGGATAACGAACTTGAAACAATTCAAAAAATGAATAGAGTCTTCAGAACTTTCATTCAAATTTATCCATAGTTTGTTCAAATAACACGGCCAAACTATTATGACAAAGGCACAAACTACGGTGAAAGAAGACCACCAATTTTGACAAAAATCAAATTAAGTAGAAAAAAAATGATCTGGGCTTGCTAACTAGACAACAATTGCTATCATCAATTTTATATTATCATAATCAGCTATATTTCATTTCCTTTTGGATGTTAGAAAAAAATATAGTGGGCAACAAGAAATCAGTATCTGGGCCCCAGATCACTTGCTAACCTGGTTCATGTCAATAGTCTGCACAGCATTTCCACGTGTGAAGATTATAGCATGATTCTGATTTTCAGGTTTCCCTTCACCTAGTTTAGGATTCCCCGGTAACTTTATTGAATAGATTTCCTGCAATTTATTTTTTTAAAGTTACATCTCATGACTTTGTTACATAACAAATGACACACAGACACAAATTAAAGCAGTGATTCATCAATACGACATTAACATTTCGTAAAAGAATAATAAACACCATCATATATGAGGCCATCACAGTGGCCTTCATCGATTAATGGCTGAACCATTTCTAGGTTCCATATTCTATAACAAGTAGCTAATTAGCACCTCATCCATTTTCATTCTTAAATTACACAACATGACTTAAAATTCAGTCAAACTAGCATACTACACCAATTCGTCTTCCTAGCATAGAATAAAGAAACATGCATAATATCCAACACAGAGATTGTGTAGACTAGAAAGAAAATAAAAATAACACATAATCAAACCTTATCTTTCCCATTGATGTCAGCCTTCACAAGTTTTGAGAAATATTCTGTGTGCACCTTCCCATCCTTCAGAGTTTCAACTTCATCGATAAAAGCAACTCGAAGAGCTTCATTTCTATGATGGAAAAAAAAAGAGAGAGGAGTTGAAAATTGAACGTAGAATGACACAACACTGCAGGAAAAGGAGAATCATATTGTTTATCAAAGAAACTTTTCATATTGAATGCCTCCACTAATTTTCTCCGTGGCAAACTCATAATTTTAGAGCTACAATGATGAAGATCTACTTACTATCTTTTTTTAAGTCCAAAAAATTCCAAAATTAAGCATTTTTTATAAGCTCATTATTATGTGAATTCTTTTCCATGACAATAATGAATTATTATCAAGTCTCTGTCCTACAGCAGAAGTATCAGATTGATTCAAACTTGGCCAACCACAACATTCAATTTGAAATTGAGAAGTATTTTGGAAACGGGATACAATGAAGCCAATATATATTGTAAAACCTCTGCATTAGCAAAGCAATATCTTCAGCCTCGGGTTTATGTCCTTCTTTCTGCTTTCCATATATCTGGCATGTAAGAACATATGTGAACTTCATATCTGCTTGAGCTCTTACTTCAGGAGACAAGTCGAAACCTTGAACATCAGTTACTTCATTTCGAATAATACCTGCTTCAGTATCTAACATTCCCCATGAATGAGTAGAAATAGAGATGACAAGCAAAAAGCACAGCATTTATTTATCATAAAAGCAAACCTCCAGTCGTCATCCGTTCCAGATAAGCTTGAAGCATTAGAGCTTTCCTGTAGTACATCATCCCCCGAACTGCAAATCTCCCATTAAAATAATAGATAAGCAGGAGAATCATCAATAAAAGAGAGCAAGGAACAGCACACTCTTTTTTCCTGGTCTCTATCTTCCATTTCAGGGAAACTTATGAATGTAAGTTAAGCTAACAAAAGAACAAGGGTAACCAAAGTGATCACGGCATCTGAGGTTCCAGTAAAAAATGATCAAACTCAAGACACAAAAGGCAACCGAAACATTATGAAGGGCCAAGAAGCACGGACATGACGACACTTGATATTTTTAAAAAGGTAGGACCATGCATTGGGGACACCATTTTTTTTTTTTTTTAATAAGTAATCTGATAATTTCATTAATCAAAGAGAATATACAGAAAATAAATAATCAATTTAAACAAGAGAAACAACATGAAATTAGGCAACCCTTCTATAGGATTAGTAGCCGTGACATTAAACCAAGTATACAAAGATAAAACAATTTTCTGATCTGTTCCATCGTCCATGTTTGATCTTCAAAACAACGGTCATTCCTTGTTGAACCATACAATGAATCCGGGGATAAGATCCCATACAAACTTGCTGTCTTCATCACGAAGTTTTCTCCTCCATGCCAACATATATCCTCTATACGCCTAGGCAACACCCACTCGATATGTGAATAAGTCAAAATATTGTTCCACAGCCAACGAACCCCATCACAGTGAATAAACAAATTATTATTCGTCTCCCCATCCCACTTAAGCATATAACACTACTCGATTACATAAAAGTCTTTTATTCGAAGATTATCCATGTTAACACTTGCCCCACACAACCGTCCCCAGTAAAAATGCCACCCATGGAGGTAATTTGCATTACTCACCTTCTAGGGGAATGAACTCTTCACAAGTCTCAAAAGGGATCTAAAATAAGTGCAAACTGGAAAAAATACCATTCACTGCGATTTCACCATCATGTTTGCAGGCGTTCAAAATTAAGAAAAGAAAAAGAAGGGGCATATCACGTTGTTCTTCAACATTTTTCCTCCATAAAGTAGAAATCTAAATTCTATCGGGCAGGATGGATTCCAATGAGTTGTCTGTTCATGTCGACAGCTAGGAAAATAACATTATGAACTACCAATGATGCAGTGCTTTACAAATATGAACCTTCATTTATGTCAAGCATGCAACGCAGGAACCAAATTAAAAATTTCAAACACAATTTCTTCCGTCATGTGCCTAACTTTACTGTGGCAAATGCAGGAGGCAGTGCAGTATAGGAATTGAACCAACAAAAGACGGGGCAAGAAAAAGAAAAAGAACATTCCAGAATACGACTTACCAGTTCTGGCTAATGTTTGTCCTCGATATGAAGCCCAAAACCGCAATTCAAGGATATCACGAGGATTATCACTAAGTTCTAATTCTGTTGTGTTCTCATCACGTCCAATCCGATAAAGAAAATTTTTCCATTCATCTGTATTAAAAAAGATACAGGCCCAGAGAGTTATGGGTCATCAGAGTGATTTTAGTATTGCCTGGGCATAATAAGAAACTTAGCCTATGTTTGGGCTCCATTCTCCAATAAAATAATATTATACGTAAACCCAAAACTTTTTCTTTGTTTTTAAACCACACATTCTCCAAAAAATAACTAATCCAAAACATAATTTTTCCTAAAATTTAATTTTAATAGAGCCCAAACAAGGGATTAATTATAGAGAATTTATATACCAAATAACCTATACAATAAACCACAACATCATACTACATTGAGTCTTCCAAAAGATAAGACGAGTACGCTAAATACAACAAAGAAATGATGACATCACCAACATGATTAAATAGACACGACCAACTAAACACTAGTAGAATATCGTATCCATGTTGGAGTACATCCTGAGAGCAAAAGAGGTGAAAAGCATATGATTTAACACTATTTCTTCCATTTTCTTTAAAGTATAGTGGAATATAAAAGAAAACATCAAAAAATAACGTTAAAAAGACCAAGACGGAAAGTTCGAAATAAAACACCTAAATGTTAACACAAGTTAAAAAATTCAGAGGTACATATCGCCAGACAGCACTATAAGATTCCATGAAAGAGAATTGAGTTGGCAGAAACATATTAATTGAGAAAACAGTTCCTTCTTGCATATGCCTATTGTAGAACAAGGAACTGCGTGTTAAAAAAAAAAAAAAAGCATGTTCATCAGACAAATAAACTTAAGGACAACAGTATTATTACCACATGCCACAGCAAGGGACAAAAAGTTAAGCACATAAAAATATTACACACGACTATCTCGTACACTGAATTAAAATATAAGAAATAGTACAGTATTAACCTTGATAGGCTAAAGAAACACCGGCAGAAAATTTTGTTTCATTCAAATAAGAGATACGTGAAAAAGGAGTGCTTAGAAACTTAAAGACGAAGGAAATAACAAACTGTATCAATCAAAATAAGATTTTAAGTACCTGGATATATTTTCTGGAGATAAAACAAAGTTGAAATGCCATCTTCATTTTTCTTAAGGAGTTCAGACATGCTGTAAAGCACAATCTCAGAGTAATATGGAGTGAACACGCTGCACAAGCAATATGCGAATAAAAACATATAAGAAATCGGTGATTTAAACCAAAATTTTAGGAAGTCAAAAATAGAAGAAAATTACCTAAAGGACAACATCTCTCGGACAGGCTTGGGTACTGGCATTTCCATAAAAAGGGAATTAGTGAAGAATTGTAATCGCCGCCTAGCCTCGAGATTCTTGGGTATACTTGCAGCTGAATCTTTGATTGTTAGAAGTGAATATAGTCTACTCACTTGTGCCCTCTACACGTTTCATGCATTTTAGCTCGTTAAATCAGATATGCAATCTCCAAAACTTTAATATCAACCAAAAAAACCAGAAAAATAGTGATAATTTTCATTACTAATCCGAACAGAAATATACTAGCATATTCACCACTACTAACTATTCCAACACACACGCCCAGCAGAATGAATCTCTACCCTCAAACCTATTAGCTCACACAAGTTAACACATTTTAGAGAAGTAGGTGGTGTTTATTAATTGTTTTAGCATTCATTTTTATTGTTTCTTAATTAACTTTTATAGTTGCGGATACTTAAGTCTTTTTGTTTAGTTTAGGGTATTCCCCGTGTGTTTCTATTCAAACTCTCCTAAGAGATTAGTTGTATCTGGCATACCAATTCAGCATCTCTTGGCCACTTCAACTTTTGAAAAAGACGACCATCAGTCCTTGCCTTTGACAGCATATTCCATGTCTCATAGTTTTCTCTGAACATGAGAAGTTAGGTTAAATATAGCAGCTTGTAAAAGGCAAAAAGGGAACAGAAGAGAAGTCCAGCCTTTTCAACAAACCTCATATTGATAGAGAGAACATCATGTCGCATAACATCATAAAGATCAAGAATGGCTTTCACAGCACCAGTTTCAAGTTCAGGTGTTTTATCGCTTTTCTGCATATATATAAAACACTGAGTTAGTAAGGTGAAGAGGAGAAATCCCAAAAAATCCTCTTGAATTGTCACAACTGAGGGAACTATAATGTCTAAATCATTAACATCAATTGAAGTGTTTAAACAAAGCTTATATACATATACATATACAACATAAGTTGAATTAAATTTCCAGATTTAATGTCATACTGAACTATATCACATATCAAGATAAATAATGTTGAAGCTTCTTATGAATTTTAATGTCATTACAGGTGACAGCTCAACCATCCAAGCTGTAGATTTATTTTCAATCAAATGATTTCATTATTTCACCATTGCATCATAAAAAGTGAAGACTGCATCTGATATCTCCACAATAATTATCCACTCACCATATTCATGAAATAACTATAGGGATCACAAGCCATACTTAATAAGAAAGAAGACCTAGACCCTACAAGACTACAATTATGACTATTGTTTGAGTATTTCATAATTACTTCTAATTTCATCCAGTCCCCTATGCTTATTCTGATATAAAACTTCAAAATGGCTGTACAAAAATAATAGAAAATTCAGTGATTAATGGAGTGATTTTTAAAGTTCAGTGATCCCGTGTAAACCTTTTACAAAATTCAGTGACCATGTGAAAACTTTTTGCAAAATTCAGTGACCATTTGGGTTATTAACCCTTCTTGTGTCCTACAATTCCAGAACAATTAATCCTTTAATCAATTGCTTTGTAGAATCCAATTTTCCTTATTATGAGTATACAAAATAATAATAATAATAATAATCATCATCATCATCATCATCACTTCCTAAAATTAGTGCTCGTGGGTACAGTCATCAGCCCAGAACTGCCTTTGAACCTCCTCTTTTTTCTGTAACCGTAAGCCTCAAAATTTTTTCCATTGATTTTTCATATTTAAACCTTCTACATTACTTTCCTGATTTTCAGCGACTTTAATCTTAAATAATCTAGCCTGAAAATATTCTTTTCTGTATTGTAGAAAAGCAATTAAAAATTTACTCGTGATACATCAAATTTGACAGAGGGTAATGAAAGTCAAATTAGCATATGACGAACCAGTATTCCCAGGAGTGCAGTTACTTTCTGAATTACAAGTGGCAGTTTATTCAGTTGAAAGTCAACGAGAATACGCTTGTTTACTATGCTTCCTTGAATGTCCTCGTATATTCTCTCAACCCTGACATGTTGAGAATAATAGTGAATATTGATTACATTGTGATAACCACCAGCTCGAAAGGAATTGAAAATAAAATATCAACTTACCACTTCTTCCCTTCATTATTTCCTTCGTCATCCAATATGGCCGTAAGGATAAATTTTACAGCATAGAAGCTCTCCTTAACTGCATATTTCATGTAGTCGTCCCTTGAGATCCTATCCCATAGATCTTCTTGCGAGTCTATTTTATCTACAGCAATATCTTTTGCAAGGAATATCTACATATAACATAAAAACAAAATACATCCATAAGGTAGGAAGAACTCAGAAACAGATACATCACATAAAAGCCAAAAGGCATACATGAAATTAAAAATGGTTATGTTCAAAGATACAGGAACACCTTGCTAGCTAAAAGAAAAAGTGGCCACTGAACCAGGGAAAGACTCCTAGAATTTTTCGGCATTTGAAGCAATTCCATTTCCCTACATGTCAGAGACAATCGATACAACAATATAGAATGAGATCCGCACAACTCAGAAGATGTAGTAGATCCATTTAAAAAAAACACAAATTAGAAAATAACACTCACAAATTAGTAATATAATCTTCCTCCCTCAGGTTCTTTATGATTTCGTTCCAAAAGGGGGCAAATCGAGCAGCATCAAACTTGCTCTTTTCCATGTCCTTCAATAAGGCAGACATATTTTATTTACAGAAAATGCAACTTAATTGTTTGCTTCAAAGATTTCATGATTTTAAACAGAAAACACTAACCACATGAGTTCATCCACCGTCTAAACAATAATTACAAGTAATAGTGCACTTGAGTCCTAAATTTAAATATATGATTTCGATTGGTTACAGGAAAATCATAAGTGTCTCATGCAAATTGATTTGAAATGATACAAGGACAAGAAAGTTATTCTACCCTTCATGTTTGGATGGAAAGATATTCAATACACCATAGTAATATGGTATAATTTTTCATAAAAGAATGCATCAACTCAGCCTACAAATAGGAAAGCAGAAAATATAATATTTCCAATTATAACATTTAAATCACTATTAATTTATATAACCCTTTAACAAATGTTGTACAATAATTATCATTTAAAAGAATTACCCGATATCATATTCAGTCGATGTACTCAAACAATGTTTACTTGAAGTACAAACGCAGGACTTGATTTATATCACAACTTTAATTAAATGTTCTAAGAAGTCTCTTAAATTACAATAATCATAACTTGATGGGACAAAGTTATAATGCAACTTTTATTTCTCATGGGTTAAGCTAAAAACCATGATATCATTGGCTTGATTCCTCTTCGAAAAAATAGTTTTAGTAGGGGTGCAGTAATGTGGAAAGAGATAGTGTCAGTTGTTTTATGGGTGATACGACAGATAGAAATAATATGATCTTCGATGAATCGAGCAAGACGTTTGTGAGTTATGGGATAGAGCTAAGTTTTAAGTTTTTATCATCCCCTCAGATTTCTATAAATAAGGAGCTCAAGGGTCATCGTCTCTCTTTAATTATCATTAGCTGGAAAAATATATAGTATGCCTGATATTAGTTCATTTTTGCTTCATTCTATTAATATCTCCACAAATAAATGTTCTGCATAATTATCGATGTTGATTAATGGATTAACATGATGATTGTATCTCAAAAAGCTACAACGATAATTCAGCTTTATCTTCTTGGAGATTAATAAGCATGTTAATTTATATTTTCTTCTGAAGAACATCATTAGTTCATAAATTATAGAAGAGGAAAAATGCCAGTGGGTTGTATAGAGGGGGGGACCAGTGGCATGGGCAGAATAGGCATAACATCGCCACTAGGTGGGAGTCCAAAATTTCTGGTTGGCCATGAACGATGCAACCACATCTTCATCATCACTACCAAAACCTCAGCATACTCATCAAAAAATAAAAATAAAATAAATATAAACTCCCTGGGACAACAGATAAACTGTGGATCGTGCAAAGCTCCAGATCTTGCTTAACTGCTTCTTACAGACGAAGGAAACTTAGGAAACCACAAAATCCGAATTTGGATCTGGGGAACGAGATCAGAATTTGGACGGTATATTTTGTTGGTGACATGGACGTAAATTTGTCTCAGTATTTCAATGTGGCAACTAAATAGTAGCTAAAATGGTGGCACAAACAACAAAATTCAGCAGTAACATGCAAGCATGACTGCATTACAATGGAATAGAAGCCTCTAACAATGAAAGACGAAATAAAATTCAATATATTTGTATACCTCACCTTGACCAAAAATTTATGCATTATCAAACTAGAGAATTTAATTTGGAACAGGAATAGTAGAGTCAATTAGTGGGGTACAAAATCACGTTATTTTAAGAGTTCCTCAACTCAAAAAATTTAAACACCACCTTGATGCTGGTGGCAATAGATATTTGACTCACTTTCTAGTTTAATTTCTTTTTCTTCTTTGGGAGATTAGATGCATAGATAACAATACCCTAAAAAAGAAATAAAAAGGAAAAATGGAAAGAAGCCTGACCTGACTCGATGATTGGACAGAAGCCCTGCAAAAGAAACTTGAATTGTAATACCATGAAAGCCAGACAGTAGATTTCAAGAACCCAATGAGGTTTTTCTTCTTTTCATTCTTTTTTTTTTCTTTTCTTTTGTGCACGTGCGTGTATGTGGGTTTGGTTCTGAGGAAAGGAAAGACCTTTCAGGGAGCGGTACATGGAGAGTATCCATAAAAGCCGTTGGAAACCTTTCGAAAAGTTTATGAACAGCATCTAAAGTCCTAATCTGAAATTCACAGAAATATTTAATTCTTAAAGCATTAAAACTTGAAGAATGTGAAATCATTTTCTGTTGTACTACATAACAGGTAAATGCATCCATTCTGTTCTGTATGTGTATCCATGTGTGTGTAATATGTGTATATATACGGATGCTCGTCAATTTTCCATTTATAAAAAATAAAAAACTGGCAAAGAACAAAAAATATAACCTCTCCAAGACGGTCTCTAGCACCCAGTAGGAAACCCCATACAGCAGATATAACGGTGTAGAAAAGATAAATGTCTAAAAGATAAATCTGCAACACATAAAGACAATGGAAAAATAACCACGAAAAAAACTATGTATTATAATGATAAAACAGAAACTAGAAGAGTAAGTGATGTTATAAAGAGAAAAATAAGTATACTTACAGCCACTACAGGTGCCCATAAGCTGACTATAGTTAGAGCATTATGGTTATCTACAAGTGAAACCAGCTCTTCTTATCAATAGGATAGCAATAAATGCAAAATTTAATTACTCCAAAGGATAGTATTCTCAACAATTTCAGCAGACTACAACTGAATTTAGATTGGAACAAATAAGTATATAAACTTCCAAGGAAGGTAAAAAATTGGTACCCAGAGATCCCAAGTATAACATATTGAATCACTAACACAAACCATAAAAGAAGGAAAATCCAAACTGCTAATAGTTTATTATTGTGTCACTGCCCCCTATAGACAAACCCAGTTCTTTCAAATCATACATAAGTGCCACATCAAAAGGCCAAAGATTCTCACAGCCTTCTCGTGATTAGAAAACAGAATTGTTTTTATTCCTTCACTGAGCTCAAGAGACTAGTCTCTAAGAAACATGGACATGGTATCTTTTATGGGTCCCATAACTTTTCAACCACATATTTCAAAAACTTTTATATCAATCTACTAAAAAATCTAATTTTCATCCCCACCAAATACCCTCAAAGTTGTGCAAAGGACAAAAAAATAAAAGTGCAAATGAATATATCCAAGTCTACCTATAATGTCCCAGTATATTGCGTGGTAGTACATGGGATTATAGTAGTGCACCTTATGAGTACTGAATACAAGAGTAAACTAAATTTTTTTTCAACAAAAAATTTATCAAATCATAAACAATACTACAAGGGTAAAGTCTTATGCAAATAAACACTAATTAACAATTAAATATTGGTGTCTCATTGGCACATATCTACAGTTCTTATTCTAAATAACCGCAAATCCATCTGAAAACCCTCCGTATTTGGCAGTTCATCTTATGGACATCTTGTCCTTTGATGACTCAATACCCAATACGAAAAAGTATAGCTTTTCACAGGTCACCTTTTTACTTGATAAGTATCTTTGATCAAATAGAATCCCTTAGCCCCTCTCTCTCATCCCCAGACAACTGCAATAGCATGCATTACATCTTGTTCAGGTCTCACTTCTTCATCAATAATCAAATTAAATACTGATAGGCTGCCCACTGGATTTAAATGTGCTAGGAGGGTAAAAGGGCAGAATAGACAGAAGAGGCAGAATGGAAAACTCAAGCCACTGATTCATGTGGGAAAACAGCAACAGGGCAGTTAATTGAGAACTTGTATTTCAATTTATATAATGTCAACTGGTTAGTTTGCTATAATTTCCTAGAGGGGGAGTTGGGGGGAGATTTCCTGAACAAATAAGGCACCAGTCCACTATATATAAAGAAGGGAGTAGTTGACAAATTGAGTGTGTATAAGGGAGAGTCAAGCCTCTCGAATTGGATGTCTCTAATACTATCCCCACTAGTCCTTGCACACTTGACCACCCCATCACATGTATCCTCAGTACTGATATTTTCACAACATAATGCTAATACAGAAAATTAATTGAGCAAAAGAAACTGGTAGAAAATAAGAAAGAAATGTCTCAAAATTTGTCGCATTCATAAGAAGACAAGTAGTTTAATCATTTCATATCCAAACATGTGCAATCATGGTACACAAGTCACGAATGTCATATGACAAATTGTGAAAATTATGTAGCTTACTTTTTGACACAACATCATGCCAGGAATATAGCCTGATATCCATATTTACTATAATCCTTGTTGGCCCTACCAAGGGCCTAATCTGCAACACGGAGCAAAAAATAAGTTCAGACAAACAAATTGAACATCATAATCAAGGCAACCAATCAAAAGTATGCATAGTAAATTGTTGTCACTTGCCAGTAGAAAGTAGGCAAAAGAAAACTTGGATCCAAGAACAAAAATCCAGAACACCATATACCTGCATTGTAATAGACATATAAATTTGATTCCAAATGCAATAAAGCTATTATCTCCATCACTATCAGAAGATATTCCCGCTATCAATAAAGTTCACACGGAAAAATTTCCAGAGCAAAAAGGCTTCAAAAGATTGTTAGTCGTAATACTTAATAGAATACATCATTTTCAGTGACAACAACAAAAAACTCAAGGGACCTTTGGGGAAGTAACAGCTCAATTATCTATATGAAGCTAACCGTAGCTGCATCCACTACAATGAGATTATGACCACCCACACCCCATTCCCCCAACCACCACCAAGCCAGCCCCAAAACCTACAGAAATTTGAAGGCAAAGGGTAAAGTAAAGAAGAACAGCATCCCATTTAAGGTGCCCATTCCTGATCCCCTTTTGGATGAAGAAGTGTCAATTACTTGATTAAAATCGTAAACCCACTGAAATACAACCCGTGCCTTCTTAAGCGTAACTCTTTCTATCTGCACCTTTTAATAGTTAAACCGAGAAGGTAAAAACAAATAGAAAAGTATAATATGTTATCAGTCCACACAAGAAAATATCAAAGCCATAATGGATTCATGAAACTGCTCCTGCAGCATGTACATACATACTAATATATAATTGCCTTGCAATGTATCAGAAATTTTCGAATTGACAACATAAATATTAGCAACTTCAATGAGTTATATAAATTATCTTCCTCTGCGGATAAAACCTACAATCTTCGATTCGATACTCAACAGTACTCAAAATAATCTGCAATAGAATTCCAATATTGTAAAGATTTCCTAGACTTGAAGTGAATGAACATCACAACATAATGTGCACTATACAGTTCCATGCAGGAACAGGCAGGCCAGACAGAATGACAACTTCATCCAAAAAAACCTACAGAAATTTGAAGGCAAAGGGTAAAGTAAAGAAGAACAGCATCCCATTTAAGGTGCCCATTCCTGATCCCCTTTTGGATGAAGAAGTGTCAATTACTTGATTAAAATCGTAAACCCACTGAAATACAACCCGTGCCTTCTTAAGCGTAACTCTTTCTATCTGCACCTTTTAATAGTTAAACCGAGAAGGTAAAAACAAATAGAAAAGTATAATATGTTATCAGTCCACACAAGAAAATATCAAAGCCATAATGGATTCATGAAACTGCTCCTGCAGCATGTACATACATACTAATATATAATTGCCTTGCAATGTATCAGAAATTTTCGAATTGACAACATAAATATTAGCAACTTCAATGAGTTATATAAATTATCTTCCTCTGCGGATAAAACCTACAATCTTCGATTCGATACTCAACAGTACTCAAAATAATCTGCAATAGAATTCCAATATTGTAAAGATTTCCTAGACTTGAAGTGAATGAACATCACAACATAATGTGCACTATACAGTTCCATGCAGGAACAGGCAGGCCAGACAGAATGACAACTTCATCCAAACAAGCTGAAGAGGTTTCAAACAGTGTCGCCTATAGTGAAGGAAGATATAGAAGATTTAACTAAACTAATAAAGGATCATCAATCTATGAACCACATCTCGTGAATATTTGTACCACAGGCATCTCCTGTGACACAAAGAACCACAACAAGCATCCTAACAAGTTAATCAATTACAGCAAAAACATGCTTTAGGAACCTTAAGGAAGATTTTGGATTCCCCTCAATACTCATATCTTATAGTGTTCTGATTGAAATAGATAACTTTATCAATCTCAATCTTAAAAGATACTTCAAACAATTCTATGTTTGCATTCGACATCAAAAAATACTTTTTGTTCCTTGGTATCTCCCATATTAAATATAGAGGGGGAAAAAAGAGCAACATCTAGAGATAGAGTTTATGGTGAATTGAAATTAAAAGAACGGGGAAATAAAAAGGAAAGATCTAAGCATTTTAAAAGCATTTTTCATTGTCAATAAGGTAAGACCATAAAAAAGAACAAGAAATTATCTATACAAGGCATCCTTCAAAATGTGACAGAGATAAAGTCATTACTTCAAAAAATCTGAAGCTCTTTCATACATGCCCCGGCCAACATAGTAATGTTCCTAAAACACAAGGAATGACCTATTAACGAACTAAAAACATCAAGTTCAAAGAAATTTAATAAGTAATATAAATCCATTCACTCAAAGCACAAACGTTAAACCTAAATGTCAACCTGGTGCATCCACTTGACAAAACGAATGATGGGCCAACGATTACATCGATTGGATAAACGGTGACATGCCGGTATATGCGTCAAGAAACTCAAGAAGAATTTAAAACCAGCGTAGATGGCAAGAACCACAACATAAATTTTATAGATGATTGACTCAGCATTCGGTCTAGTCCTCTCTTCAAGAGCCTTACTGTAATCACAGAAAAGAAGTAAATAAGCAGGTGCTCTTATTGTGCATTAAGGATAGCATACAAAAAGGGAAGCAACAGAATCAGAGAAAGAGACAGAAGAAGAGTGTCGTACAAGAATATAAAGAGTGAGATGTACATACACATAAAGGAAACATATGACAACTGAAGCTAAGCTATAGCATAGAAAACGGAGAAAAATCCTTGTTACGGCTAAATGTTGTGAGGTAGAATATGCACCATACATCATTACAATGTCCAATACACCTGTCAAGACACAAAAGCAATCCTCAAATAGAAAGCAGTGCACATAACATGGCTATTAGTCTAAAGATATTTTAAATCGTCTTTAAAATACAAAACAATCTGAACATTCAGTCAGGACCTTAAAATGAATATCACTTACTCTCAGCGAACTTCATCACAAAGTATGTTGGTCCAACACTAAGAACTTCTCTTATGGTCTTGGAGTTCAAGTGACCATGATTGAATGCGATGATGGTGAGCCCCTGCAGGACCAAATAAAAAAAGAAGGAAAAGCTCAAGCTCAACAGTCAATCTTACCAATCACTAAATTGCAGACAAGATTGTGACATGCAAAAATGAAATCCACCATAATAGAGATCTAGTATGGAACAATAACAGCCGTTTACAGTCTAAATGACTTCTTCAACTAGAAAGGCAAACAAATAATATTAAAAGACTGACTGAAAGAAACCCACATATAGAACTATGACGACATACGAAGCACCAAAAGAGGATCCACAATGTAGATAAATATACGATTTAAGAAAGCAATAAAACTCACAATTCTAAAAGGTAAAAGGCAAGAATGATAAAGATAAGGACCCAAAATCTCAAAGGAAAATTGATTGTTGTCGTAACTTTAAAATGGAATAACCAAAAAATACTGACATCATATGTAAGCAACAAAATTAGACTCATGATAATTTATTCTTGCCTTTTGGGATTGAAATGACATTTGAAAAGGTAATTTGTAACCTCCCGAAGATTTTAGAATAAATTTATTTATTTTATATTTTATATATTTACATTTCTGAAAGTTGATGACTAAAATGAAAAATATTTTAAATTTCTATTTTATTTGTTCCAAATAATTAGATTTTGATAGGGTTATATTTAGTATATCAATATTAGCCTCATTTTATAGGTCGTAATTAATTAGAAGTCTTTGACTAGAAAAAAAATTATTTTGGATAAGAGCACGTTAAGTTAGACCCAATTGAAAGAAAATAGGATAAATAGAATTTTATATAAATTATAAATCAATTCATTCTCTCTCTCCAAAAACGTGTCAAGTGCGTATTGAATTTTAATTTTTAGTTTAATATTAATCTATTTTGAATTTGATACGATAACTATGAATTTGCTATTAAAAATATAATCCAAAACTAGATTTTATCCAATAGGGTACATGTTTTCTCTTATATTTCAACCACTTTTTATTACTATAAATACTAAACATGAATTCCATAATTCACACACCAAAAGTTACACACATAATAGAGAAAAAGAAAGAGAGAGGGGGGGTACTATTGGGAACTAAAAAACAAGAAACTATTTTACAACACTTAAATACACGAGGTAAGATACTTTAGGTGCAAGTGTTTTTGTTTCCTTATGCGTTTATATTCACTTAAAAAGGCATGGATTGCCAGTAAGCATTCGTTTTCTTTAAAAAGAGATGAAGACCTACGGGATTATAAGAGGACCTAAGATGGGCGTGTCGCTTTGTCACCGATATACTTCAAAAGATCAGATGGTATGAAGTGTAATTTTTATTGTTATATATATGTATATGGAAACTGAACGTATCTTATTGGGTGTTCTCGAATACTCACTCTTGCAATTTTTTACAGGTTAGTTCAAGTCGATTGGATTTGTGATAGGGCGGTGATGCGAGCTGCCAAGAGGATCGTAGTAACTAGGCAAATTTTTCATTATGTTTTTCTGCCTTCATAGTTATTTGTTAATTTATTTAAAGGCATGTTTAGCATTATTTTTCAGATACAATTAAATTTATGAATGCTGCAATTATTATTTATTAAAGAATTTTATTTTGATCTTTTCGCATGTAAAGTAAACAAAAAAATGAATTTTTGGTAACGCTCCGGTGTTATGAAAATTTGGGGCGTTACATAATTTCATACTCTAGTTAGAAACTTTATGGTCCCTTATTCTTTCAAATGGATGCTATAATAAATTTTGGGGGATTTGGTGGGAATAAATGCTGCGCATGTGTTTACCTCTTTCTACATAGCATAAAGCACTTAAATGGAGGGGCAGTGCCAGATTCTACGGACCAGTATCTACCCACACTTATATTATGATTGCATACCTGAAACATCATGAAAAGGAATATCCACAAGCGATGAAAACTGTGATAAAGGTGGAGAAACGTCCGGTGCTCAACGAAGGAAGTTTTTCCACAACGTTTGCCTCCATTAGATTTTAGAATATTCTGAAAACCAAAAAGGAAAGGTTTATGTTACAAGAGAAAGGGAAGGCCACCAAACTATATATATGATAACATGGAAAACTTCCAATGAAACTATTCTGATTCGTTTACAAAACTTCTACAATAGGTAAACTAATAAACAGGAATAAAAAAGTAAACTTGCAAGCAACTGAACATATTTTTTAGTAGAAATTTCATTGTCAGAAAAAGTATCACTGGTGGTTCCATAAATCCAACATTTTGATGCCATTAAAAATTTCCCACATGGCAAATCATTGTCTCGTAAATGGTTAGATAACAAAAAGATGTAACTACATAATGAGATCAAAGATTTAAAATTGTTGAACATAATGAATTCATGTTATATTCAATATTAAGAAACAGATTACTAAGTGAATATTTTGAACTGTAAAAACCTACTTTGTTGGGTTGTATGTCTACTGTTAGATCTCATGCCATCGGATCCTTCAAAATCATACCAGGTGACGTCAACTTTGGTCTAACTCTCACTCTTCTAACCTATTCCACAAAATCCACATAACTCATGTGAACGGAAGCTTCTTAACCCTGTGCAAGATATATCCAGGCAGGCAGGCACCTAAGTTGTCTTTACCCTCAAGTAGAGCCCACCTCCATTTGTTAGCATATATTCTCAATTTTTTTTTATCTTTTCAGCTACATTTTATGGACTTTTCAACAACAAAAAACACAAGTTGCATCATACATATGTCCGTAATATCATTATAACCCAAACAAAATAGCAACTAGGGTGGGAGATATTTGCTCAGTCTGCATGTTGAAAGTTATGTTGCATGTGAATGAAAACGTGTTCATGTATGCATGAAAACACATAAAAATGAACAACAAAGAAACTTGTAACCACTGCATCTCTTGACAAATCATAGAAAACATATTATCCTGCCATATGCAAGACTTTATAACTAACTAAACCTCATGGTGAAGGCTATAAACACCAACAGATAAACCCAATTCCAGTCTATAACTGACTAAACATCTATGAAGGCCCTTTTTCTTTGTTGTATAAAGTACCAATGCCTTCCACTATGCGCATTGTAGGAAAACCATTTAAAAAACTCCACTTTTCTTTAACAGATAAATACCTTTCTGCATGAAAAGCAATATTGAAATTGCACTAACTTTAACCTAGAAATTCAACAAACAATATAAGATATAAATATTCTAATATGGGTGTCTATTTCCACAAGGCCTGTGAAGGTAAGCTAAATAACAGCAAGCCTTATAAAAATAGCAATTTTAAACATCGAAAGACACTATCCTTTCAAATTATGCACAAGCGTCAATCATCATGTATTCTGCTAGTTAATGTGCAGTGTACATCTGTAAATAGTCCAAAAAGCGATCTTCTCCAATTTACTATCAGGTTAACATAAAAACAGAACTTAGCAGACCTTTGGCCTAGGTGATGGCTTCAGGAAAAAGGATGAAATTTTGCGCCATGGCCAACTAAGTTCAAAGCAGCGCAGAGACCTGAAAAAAAATGTTTGTTATAAGTAAGTGAAACTATAAACCATACTACTATAAGATAAATCTTACCAAAAATATTCATTAAAATCATCATAATTTCGCCAAGCCGAATGAGCTGCTCGCCCATTGTCATTGTTTGAAGCTTCCTGTACAATAGAAGGATAAAATCTAGATTTTAATCTAAGCCAAAGTCATCAATTAATTGTAATAATATATTTCATGAGACCTATAACTTGTCATCAACACATTTTATTAACTTTTATCAAAATCTACTTAAAATCTAATTTTAATTCCCATCAAACAAGGGCTTAAATTTATTTATTTATTTCTTAAAAATAATATTAAACCAGAATGTAGAAATAAATAGACATCTAATATCAAGACAATGAAAAATCAGAGGCTAATTTCCCATTATTATCAAAATTAAGAAAAGAAAGAAGAGCATATTGAGACTTACCGCAGCTACAACCTCGTAAAGGGGGCGTATAACTTGATCGAGAAATGATACACCAGACTCGGAGACACAACTCTTAGCTGGCTGTGCAACCTGCTGCCGTAGTATGTCTTCCAATTCCCTTCCCATCTGTTAATAGCATCCATTGTTTGATAACATTTAATCAGGACTTTGTGATCTCGGATTACATAGTCGAAACAAGAGATGCTGAAGAATAGCCATAAAGAGAAAAGCATAAAATACACTGATCTTCCCCACCCAATAGGAATGAGAACTTTCTAAACAATCTTCTTCTTTTTTTCCTCTCTTCCTTTATGGGCCCCTTTGGCATGACCTTTTGAAAAGCCAAAAAGGATCTTTTGGACCCATTTGGTTAATTGCCTTTTTTAGTTAGAAGAGCTTCTAGAGGAATTGGCCCAATATGGTTTTCTCTAAAAGCTCTTCCAGAAGACAAAGCATTTTTAGAAATTAGTTTCAAAATACTAATTAAGGTAAAGAAGCTCTTCTACAAGAAGTAAAAGTAGAAGCAAAAGCCCTACCAAACAGGCCTAGTGTGCTTATGAATCAAGAAAAAAGTACATGGTTATCAGCTATCATAAATACTTCCCAATCTTTACATTACCACTTTGTACGTAGTATCACTTAAGAAGTTATATAGAATCTACAAGCTATCGAGAGTCACAATTACCTCGGGTTTAACATCATATTTCATTTTAAAACATGGAAAGACAGATATTGGGAACAAAACAAATTAGAAGGTTTTCATGATTGAATACCGAAGGTTTTCATGATTGAATACCGAAGGTTTTCATGATTGAATACCTTCAAAATCAACCGAAGAAATGGAAATATGTATAAATCAAAGAAAGCTGTTTGGGGAATCTTGAAATATTAAAACTTACAGTTACGCAATCTCACTAATCTACTAGGATTCTGAGTCAAGCCCAATAGAAAAATAAAAATGGTGTCAATATTGAAGCACCCCAAAGAGGACCTACATGGTGAAATACGTAGCACAAGCATTCTGGAAGAAATCGGAGGTTGGCGGCTTCACCCCATATTAAGAAGTACAGTGAAATAAACAAAAGCTTCATCTCTTTGCTTACAGCCTCCAAACTGCAAATGAAGAAACAGATAAATAGACTAAACATTTATTTTTTTCATAACTTTGCATTTACAAGTAACCATGAAATGTTATTCTCTATCCACTGTAAAAGCATGTCAAGTTTACGTACTTGCTCCATACGGGTAGGAAGCCGAGATAATCGCACCACTTGATGTAGTTATCAAGGGACTTCAGAAATACCCTCTGCACAGCAGCCTCATCCAATATCTGGTGCAAAAGCATAAAATGGCACCCTAACTAGTGAGATTCCGCACAGACCTTAACAGAGGTTCCAATATTTATAGTATTCGACAGATTGGCATGCTGTGCAATAGATAGTGCATTGAGTAACTATTCTGACCATTCTTATAACAACAAAAGCCAAAAACAAGCTAAAAAGGTCAACTACTATTGAGAAATGCCCGACAAATTGGGAAGCAAGTTTGACAGATCATACAACAGAATGTTTCCTCGTGTCAGACAAAATTATCTAAAACAGAACTTTGCTCCTGCTTCAGAGAATTTATACAATTCATATTCCACAAAAAGCATCTCATGCATGGTGAGATTTTATTTGACCTCCCCCCTACTGACCTGGTTTATGGTAAAAGGGCAAACAGGAAAAAGATGAAACAAGCGGCCCCATAACACTAAAATTTCACATCACGCCTTAAAACGATAAAAACAATCAAGTCATCTTTCATATATAGAGTTTAATCTACTTAAAACAAAATATTTTCGCGGAACTGGATATAAAGACAGACCTAGATTAGAATTATCACTGGTAATTGAAAAAGTTGAGCACTAGAAAGCACAGTTCTCAAAATTAAGAAAGCACTATTTCAACTTTTATTTTTTTAACGAGATTTTTGCTTCCAATTAAAAAATTGCATTCATGTATCCCATCCATTAAGAGCCATGTTTGTATAGTGCATTTATGTAATTATCAAGGGAACTGGTAGAATTCAAAATCAGTACCATTCTGAAAATTACGCAGTTCCTCCTGGGAACTACAAATCGAGATAAAAGTAAGATGAAGATAAAAGATTTCCTTAAATAGAAGTGCTTTACCAGCAATTAGGGACAGCCGTGATGCCAGGTACATGCACAAAGAATATCGGAAGTCCTGTGTAGATGGTGAAAGCAATTTGCTACTTGGAGATAAACGTACTTCATAGTGGGTAGGCTTTAGATATTGAAAAAATGTAAAAATTATTATAGAAGGTATAGAAATTCTAGAAAATGGAGATATTTTGTGTATTTATATTATTAATAAAGTGTAGGGAGCTCTATCAATCTTCAAGTGGAATATATAAAAGCGGGGAGCTCAGAGCTATGATTTGAATGTTTTTGGATTTCCCAATTATTTAGATTACAAATCACTTGTATGACAAATTTTGCTAATTAGCAAACAGAAAACGCCATTATTTCTGCAGTTACCACAGCCTAAACAGTATATTTCAACCCGCCTCATCCACCCTATCTCCCACACTTGCATAAAATGTTTCAATATTTCTGATCTCAGGCAAACGATGACAAGCACACTGCAGCATGCTGTAATGAGATCACACGGCACGTATTTTATAGAATTTTTTTTAGCATGTTTTTCCAAGTCTGAGAATTATGCAAGGGGGAAGTAAAACTTCAACAAATCTGGAAATCAATAATCATAATACTCCAAGCAGCATACAGCAAGAAATGAGACAATGAAGGTGAAGCTTCCATGATAAAAAAACACATTGTTCCATAAGCAACCATTAACATCCAATTGTACAAAGTTCATCCCATAATTCAAATAAGTTCCATCCGATATACAGTGTAAAACACTAAAACCTACCGGCTCAAGTTCTTCAGGGATACGAAGCCGACTCTGTTCATTGGCAAGGAGGCTAACAACGTGTTCTCTCTGATTGGAAACATTATCTTTCTGCCAAAGCAACCATACAAAACTAACTTGAACTCCATGGTTGAATAACCAATAAGAAAATAAATATATAGCATGCAATAAAAATCATTCTTCCAGACCACCACCACCAATATCTTCCCATATAAAACAATGCATATACCTAAAACAAAAATAGCAAAAGATAGAGAATCCTTTCAAGTCCCATACAACACTGAGAAATAAACCCAGAACTTAAACAAAAATAAATGCAACAAAAACTCCCTCCAAATGTGGGGGGCTATAAGACAACCAAAATGCAAGATTCAGAAGTATCATGAAAGATACAATGCTAGTCTCGGTAACTACCCGTACATTAACAACACAAAGTGACAAACCCACACCATCTAAATCAAGTTATGAACATGACTTCTGAAATCTACATACTACAGAGTAAAAATTTATAAGCCGAAGAAAGCCAAATGATCCAGACAGACTGTAGGTGAGTATCCATCTATAAGGCAAGTATAACAATACTCAAGATACGAGATTCTAGTTTAAAATTAATACTGGGAAGTGGCATACATTTTTGTCCCAAGAATTTCGTTCTCTTACATTTAGCCTTCTATGTAGCCCCTGTTCAGTTTAAATAAAAATCAAATTTTTAGCAGATTTTTTATAGAATTTGATGGAATGTATGGTTGAAAAGTTGCAGGTTCGGCGAAATATGTGGTTAACATTAAATGTGGACTTTGACATAGATTTAATCTACTTTATAGTTGAACCAAACAGGGGCATAATTGAAGTCTCCAAATAATTCGCACTCTGTCCTCATCACAAAGCTGCTCATCAATCTATTTGAGTTGGTAATAAACTCATTGTTATTGAACTTCCTAGGTTAAATTTCGTAAAAACATAATTCATATCAGAAAGCTCTCAAGTCTTAAATCTCAATGTCCAATTATAATCAAATTGCAAATGCAACCAATTGCCTGCTTTAGTGTAATTAGTATTTACCTTTGCCATCAGCAAATCATGTGAACCAAACATAATACAAAATTGTTGAACAATCTAGCATTTACTTTCATGTTTTGGTAGAGTCCTGTTTAAAAAGACGAAATAGAGTACTGAGACATTTTTCCTCTGTTAAGCCTCGAGGTGCTTTGAGTCATAAGCCTCTCCGTGAACCAAAAAAATAATAAAAACAATATAAAAGCATAAAAACAAAATATATAAAATTCCCAAAACAATAGAACGACTTAAAGTATCAATCAAACAAGTCTAGCCGCACTGACGTCGCAGTTGCCAGAGCGATGCAGTTCTAGGGTTAGTAGTGTTATTTTACATGTCTCGTGTTCTGTTTGTGTGTTGTGCGTTTGAACTTATAATGCATTTTATCCATGCCGAATTATATATAATCAAAGAAATTAATTAGGTTTTGAAATATAATAGATTTTCAAAGATAATTTATAGCTAATAATCAATGAAATTTGGTATTGTTTATTAAAATTTAGTAGATTCCCAAGGCTATTCTTATATTTTAATTTCCAATGAAGTCAACCACTGAAAAATGAGAACTTCAAAGAAAAAACGATTCCCAAATAGATAATTAAGGGGCGTGAATATCTCACTCTCTTTGAGGTGTGCGCCTCGAGGCTTGCAACTCAATAACTAAAGGCATAAGCCTCATTATCTCCATTAAATATTTGTTCCTTAGTTCTATTTTTCACTGCCTCAGTCTGAGGCTCACCTCATCAAGCCTTTCGAAACCATGCTTTTGACTCTAAACAAATAACTTCAATAAAGCCCAGGAAGAGGTCAACCAAAATCATTTCAAAATTCAGGCAACCATTACACATCCATAAAACCAACACCAATTATTAACTAACCTGAAAACCAAAAGTGTATTGCAAAAAATCAAATATGTCCAAACCCCTTGTAGGTGGTGCAGAAAAATTTCCAGGCAATTTTGGTATGCCCCTGAAGTACTTAATAGCTGAAATCGCAGCTTTTACCTGATGTTTAAATAAGCCATTCATTACCATATAGCATTAGCAAGAAAATAAGAAAATAAATACATTTGAAAAAATAATCTAGATCACCTCAGCAAAAGACACAATGGCATGTGTTATGGTAGGAGCATCCAGGGGAATGATATTATAGGAAACTAAATCTTCTGTCATGGCTGCATCCGACTCCATCACACGTTTCAGCTGCAAAGGAGAGCAACCATAAGATAACAAGTGTTCATATCGGACATTTCCAAGTATGCTGCAATAATTTGCAGAAAAATCGAAATAGAAACACTAACTTTGACGAATAACCCAACACAGACGATATGGTCTCATAACAAACAATACAAACCTCCTCAGGAATTAATCTATCAGCTTCTTCAGGGGAAATATCCTCGGTCAGCTGCACCAAAACATTCCCAAGAACTTTGAGAGTCGCCAAAACTCTTTTCCTTTTCACTGTTTTACGCTCCAGTCTAAAAGATGAAAGAAAATAATTAACATCAAGAACATGAGAGTACATGAAAAAGCACATAAATTTTTTACAAAATAAAACACTAACAATCAAGTTGGAGAGGAAAACATGGATAAGTTAAAACATCCAATTGTATGATCAGACTATATCAAGGAGTAGCATCCATTAATTATTACTTGAAAAAGGAAAACAAAAAATTAACAAGAAGGAAAGAGAATCATTCAAATGGAGAACACTCCTAAGCAAGTTTTATATTGCTGAAGCACCTACAGATAATTGCATAAATTGGAAAGGTGTGTGGAGAAGTAAATAAAAAACCAACAACCTAGTCCTAACAACAGAAAGAAAAGAAACTTCAGTTCACTATTTCATGAGAAGACAGAGAAGAATAGGTGTCATTACATGCCTAAAGAAACTAGCCATTGGTTACCACAATATATAAACTGAAACACTTAAAACATCAAAAAGAAAAGGTCAAAATATACAGTAAACAAGGTGTCTGATTTGCAAAAAACTGAAATTTATTATGAATGAATCCTAGGATAACCAGTATTGGGATTTAGAACATACTCTCCGAGGTTACCACTAAAAACACCGGACTCCCTCAACTTCATTTCCTCTTCTCGCAGCTGATCTACATTATGCTTCTCTCTGTATAGTTTATAAAATTCTCGTAAGAGAGTAATGTCCTGGCTTCTGTCAATGCTTCCACCCTCCCTCTTTGCTAGCTTTTGCTGCAAAAGTTGGTAAGACAGCACATTACACATGAGATCATTGTAAAGATTCACAATAGAAGACTAAAGTGCAGCCGCATAATTATTAATAGTGAAATGCAGGGGATGTAAGGAATATGCGCATGATTTAAAAAATAATAATAATAATAATAAATAAATAAAAATTCAGAAACCATTGCATTTATTGCCAATAATAATAAAATTTAAAAGAGTTTAAAACCAATAAAACTCTTCTTCTTCACATGTTCGATACATACTGGAGATTTAAAAAATTTAAAAATTATAAAATGTGTATTTGACACGTATTAGGCCCTGTCCAAGTATATCCAAACTTAGATACGTACCAAATACGGGTAGAAATAAGTTTACATGTATTTGGGCTTCTTAGACAGTAATAGAGCTATCAAGAAACACATTGTTTTTGTTGACAGTACAAAACAATATATGGTCAACTCATCTTAAAAGATACCTTGATTATAGACATTAAACCAGTCTTGAATTGTAATACTCCCCTTCCCTCGCTATTTGGATCCAGATTTTGAGCCAAGGAATACGCATGTTCACATACTGAAACAGGGAGGAAAATAAAAATCTACAATTAAGATTGCAGGTAAATAAAAGCAGCCACCATTGCACGAAATACCATCCCCACTATTATGCAACAAGGGCATCTGGCCTGCATGAAACATACTTGAACCTTGTTCTTCAGTTTAATTTCATGATGCTGCTCTATCATCACAAGCTTATCTAAAAAATTTGCTCGTTACATCTGTGCTGACCAGTCTTTGCAATACTTTGTAAGGTTTTATACAAAGAGGCACCAAGAGACTTTCCAAGATCAAATTATGTCAGCACGTTTGATATGGGGTGGTGCTATACATTTGATATCTCTTTTGGGTGTCTTTGTATTGTTGGTAAGTGAGCATGGGAATGGATATCTGATTGCAACACCAATCATCCACATCATTCCTATTTTAGGAATGACAATAGGTGTGTCTAAAGCAACCTGCTTCCTAGGTAACAAAGATGCCCGTTTCCCATGGTTTTTCATTGACCTTTTACAACTAACTTTGCTTATGAAAAGAGATCTTCTTTAGATGGATTTCTCTTCCTTCAATTAGAAATCTTTTCTACCTTGCGAAAATCTTTCAAAAACCAAAACAGCGAATTCCTTACTATTTTATCCAAATATGGAATAAAGTGGCTGCTTAGGTAATACCATTTAAGGCAGATAACTCGCGAATCTTACACTTGCAAAAACCTTGAAAGTATTTCACGTAACAGATTAAAATAAAATTTTCTGTATTCCTTTTCATCTCATGTCAAGCATGGTCAAGTTCAGTAAAATTATGGAACTGATAGTGAAAGAATCAAAAGTCAAATTCATTTATAATTTAGCCACTTGTCAAAAATCACTATCTTTCTGCATATCTTCTCCACTCTAGTAATTCCTCCTATATTACAAAAAGTTCCATCAACCATGCTAGCAACTATCTGTCCCATCTTTTAGAATTTCTACTTCCTTCAACTTATATATTTTGTTGGATTCCAGTATTTGATGTTAGCAGCTATCCAATAACCAAGGGTAAAGATGCTTTAAACTACTGTAAGGAGCTTATCCAAACAGTCTTTTATTTTCAGTTGATTTTAGAGGAGCAATGGACATTGACTATGTACACTGGATGGATAGTGTATACAACCTTTTTTCTACAAAACAGCAATAGATATCTCTCATCCAGTGACAGGAAACTATTAAAACCAAAATGGATCTCAGAACTATCTTAAGAAATCAGAAAACATAAACTCCATTTACGAAAGAAATAAAACTCAAAAAGGGAGCACATACGAATTCTGGAAACAGTAGGATCATCATCTTGAATCTCGTCTGCAGCCCTCAGAATGTCATCTATGTCCTTGTTTGCAAGTGAGGATGGAACAATTGCAGCAAGGCCCGCCTCGGGTCGTCCAGAAAAACGTCCACCTGTCCTTTCCCTCCGAAGTGCCGCACGCACTAGACGCTCCCATGAGTCCTCCACTTGAGACATCTCCTGATTTGTGACCAAAAGTTAAATACAGAATTAATTCAAGTTAAAGCAAGTATACTTAGTAAAGATATTTAAACAAAGCAACTCAAATGCGACAATAGACAAAATAATTAATATGATCATAACTTATTTACAAGATAAAAAATTTTGTTCATGTAGGGGAATAAAAAAATGACATCCTTCCCAAATATCCTTGAAAACTTAAAGGATAAATAAGAAATCTATTAACCAGGCCAGGACATTTAAGAATTTACTCAAGCTGTGAAAATAAAAAATCAGAACACTAATTCATTAATCATTATGTTCTCCTTTTCCAACTTTAGTATCCTCAGAAACATCATTTGAAACTGAAATTATCACTTAATTTCTAAATTAATTCGTTTTCCTCAGTAATTCATTTAACCAACCAAACGAACATTAATTCAGAAGTTCATCAGACGAGTTTTAATGCATAAATATGCACACACTCACGTACATGTAATTATATATACAGAGAGTGTTGAAAATGGAGCTCACCGGATAGGAGATCTCGCCAGAAAGTCACAGATGCGACGACGAAACAACCTCTTTATATATTCTATATGTATAAATTTGTCTTAATTGAGCAGAAAGGGAGATAACCCCTAGAAATTTGCAATTTGAAAGGTTTGTATATCTGGATCGCGTTCTTTGAAATGAAAATAAAAGGTTGTAAAGAAGCTTAAGAGAGAGGAGTTGTGTATCGGGGGAAATAGGGGCTCGAATCCAGGTTCTTTCTATGCAATTGGATACTTTTGAACTGAAATCGTTTTGAATGTTAAAGAATCCAATTAATGATTTGTTGACATTAGTTACGCAATGTTAGTTCGACCAGCAGGAAATTTGACTCAGGGAACTGGAGGGGAAGGGTTTGTGGTAGTCTCTTCGTGGCAGAGTGTGAGTGGTGTTTGAAATGATGTCTTACGCGGTTAAGAAAATTAAAGTGAGATCGGGAACCCTTTTCGTCCCTTCATTTTTTTTTCCTTTTTTTTTTTTTAAGTCAATTCCTTTTTGCTTTGCTTAATCGATGGGTTTTTTAATTATGAGACTAATTTGCACTTTGCCCCTATAGTTTGGATTTTGTGTCAATTTACTCCTTAAAGTTTCATAAAAAAATCAAATCAGTACATTAAGCCTCCTTTTGGAACCAATTTATAAATCATTCGCAATCTCGATTAAAGGCAAATACTAGTTTAAGAGTAATACTATTTAGTATCACTACTGTTAAAACACAATTTTAGGTAACTCTAATATGACATTAAATGAGTAATATAATTAAACGAATCGCTAATTCTACATTTTATTGAGCCTATCATTTAGTTCCATTTAGATTGGCATTGTAGCACCAAGCGTTATTCTTTGTTCAATCACACATTCATCACTGTTATTTTATTTCACACATTGCATACGATTCAATGTTGTCAAATTGACAATGGTGTCATGTTTTGGTAGGTAAAAAATATGATGTAATCCATAACACAAAGGCAAGTTCTGGCAACGATCTATTGATCATTGAAGAAAAGCCTATGACTAGGTCGCCAGCAAAGAGCATTGAAGCAGTGATGGGATTACTCGCTCAAACTACGATGGACGAAACATTGATTATGACAAGCAAAAAATCAAGACTTGTATTGGACTCGAGAGAAGAAACATGATGATCAACTTAATTCAAGCAATAGACAGAGGGGCCTATCACTCAATACCACTTAAATTGGCGTTATAGCACCAAGTGTTATTCTTGATTCAATCGCACATTCATATCAGTTATTTTATTTCACACATTTCGTACAATTTAATATTGTCAAATTAACTATGGTGTCATGTTTTCAATGTTGAAGGAATTTCTATGGTCTCTAGCAAGGTTTGATATCAAATAAGAATGGTAATGTCATTAGAGGATTTTCTGGATGTAGAAGGGTTTAAGAGAAAAGTAAGGATGATGCCCAGACATTCCTTTGGCTTAGACAAGAAAAGTATACGATTTTATCTATTATGAGGTAAACATGAATTCAATTCTTCATCTTTTGCCAAAAAGACCAAGAGGAACAGATCCGATACCCCTCAAGAGGTGAATTTTCAAAGAGTTATAACCTTTGTAACATCCCAAAATTCTTATAGCGACTTTTCATAATTTTGAAAAGTTGAAGGACTAAAGTAAAAATATATTTTAAATTCTTATATATATATATTTTTTGGATCAAATAATTAGATTTTGGTAAAACTAACTTTAATACATCAATATCAGAATATTTTTGTAGCTTTTAATTAATTAGAAATTTTCGACTTGATAAAATTTTAATTCGAATAATTTAGACCCGAGATATTTAGGTTTAAAGAAGTTATTAATTATCAGCATTCAATTAAGTTGGTTATTGATTTTGATCTTGTTGATGGTCACGTGTATAAATAACCTTTTGCTGTGAATTAGGACAAAAAAGGAAAAAGATATGGTTGTAAGGGATAATTGCAGCAGAAGGTCCAAACCTTTTAAACACTGCAAATTTTTTCCTAACCTTTCATTTGTAGTAGCTATCACTCCAAACCTTTTAAAACGTTGTATCTGAGGCTCTTTTGGATCGAATCCATCCAATTTAACTTTAGTTTGATATAAAAAAGTTATTTTGACAAAAAAAAATTAATTTTGACCACATTTTACTTAATTTTAAAAGGGCAAAATAGTAATTTAATGTTTTTCTCATAAAATAATAGAAAACTTAATTCAAAACCATAAAATAAAATAAAAAATAAAAACCCATCGTTTTCTTCCTCACCCCATCCCCACGCCCACTCCCTCAACCCAATGGTGCTCACCCTCACCGTCGTTGTGCACACAGAAATTACAGAGGGTGCATATCCTAGATTTCTATATCAAGCAACCAAACAAGCTGCAACAATAGTAATTTCATCTGATACAAGCCAAAACAGATTGTTTGTTAATAAACAAAGTCAGCCAGATGGAATAGAATGTAATCGCCATTTTTTGTTTGAATTCGACAAAACTAGGCTCGGATGTTTTCTAATTAACACATGCATAAGCAAAAGAGAGAGAAGAAAAAATTATCGACATCAGAATCCATCGATTTTAATAAAGCAGAGGATACCATTTTTTCCGAGTGTTGCCTCCAAGAACCCTAATTTTTCACTTTTTGTTTTTAGGTATTTTGCGTCTAAATGAAATATGCCCAATTGACCAATCTTCGTGTAATCTATGACGACTAGATTGGCTTATATAAGGGTGTCAATGGCATGAGTTATAGAACCAGATGGAAGGGTAATTTCCATTTTTTAAACCTTGGTTCTTGCAATTGGCAGGGGATGGGTGGCATAGGGGTGGGGTGAGGAAGAAGATGATGTTTTTTTTTTTTTTTTTTTTTTTGGTTTTTTTTTAAGTTTTTTTTTTTTTTTTGAAAAAAAATTTTAAATTTTTTTTTTTTTTTTTTTTTAGGTTTTGTTTTAATTTTTTTTTTTTTTTTTGAAAAAAAATTTTAAATTTTTTTTTTTTTTTTTTTTTTTTAGGTTTTGATTTAAGTTTTTTATTATTTTATGAGAAAAAATATTAAATTACTATTTTGCTGTTTTAAAATTGAGTAAAATATGATCAAAATTAATTTTTTTGTCAAAATCACTTTTGTATGTCAAACTAATAGTAAATTGGACGGATTCCATCTAAAAGGGCCTCAAATGTAACGTTTTAAAAGGTTTTGGGTGACGGCTGCTACAAATGAAAGATTAGGGGAAAGTCTGTTAGTGTTTAAAAGGTTTGGAGCTTTTGCTGCAATTATCCCTAATTGTAATTCTAATTTTGATCGTGTTTAATTGTGATCTTAATTTGATTAAGCCCTTGTTTGAGCCCCTTTTTTGGGAAAAATGAATTTTTGAATAGTGTATTGATGGGAAATGTGTGGTTAAAAAATAAGGAAAAATTTTGGATTTACGTGTAATATTATTTTATTGAAGAATGTGTGGTTGAAATGATATCAAAATACTGTTGAAAAATGTATTTTTCTAAAAGAATGGGGCTCAAACAAGGGCTAAAACTTCATTACTTTTAATTACTTCATTTTTAACACCAGTATACATAGTCATTGGATCCGACCCGATCATCAACCCGGAAAAACTATAGGGTCACTGGGTCAATGGTTCAACCGGGGGTTAGTGGTTAAACAGGTGAATTGATGTTAGTTCTTAATTTTGATTAAAAATATTTTTTTAATTAAAAAGACAATATAAATGTTATTTTATATCATTCTAATTAAACTAAAAATATATATTTGACCAACATTATTTGTTGTAATTCTACATCTACCATGGTGGTTAAGGCTTCAACCTTTCAACAAGGTAATGTGGGTTCAATTCTCACTTCATGTAACTTTGATATAAATTTTGTTAGGTAACAATTTCACAAAAATCGGTTCACATGTGAACCAGTTTTAGGTTCACCTAAACCCGTCCGGTTTAAGACATAAATGAATCGGTTTGGGCGGTTCTTATCTGGTTTGATTGTAAATGGACCAAATTGTGCTAATCGGACCGGATCAGTGTTTGGTTCACCGGTTTCTGGGCCGAATTGGCCGGTCCGGTCCGGTCCGGTATTAATAACTATGCCAGTATACTAAGTCAAATGGAACCAATCCCAAATTAACTTCCACGTTTCCTATTTTGATATAAATTCAATTAAACGATTAGGATTGGTTGATTATTTTAATTAGGAAAACCATTAATAAGATATAATAATAATTTTATTATTTGAAATCAATTCTTATTCAAATTATTTGTATTACAAGATTTTCCATTGCATACAAACTCCATGGTGAATTTCAATTTTAAAATACTGTAAGAATTTTCATTATTTCATCACGGAAAATATAGAGCCATGGCAGAGAGAGAAAGAGAGGAAAAATGTATAGAAAAATAATATGAAAATTTGTACGCACAATATTTTATCTTCTTTTCAACCGTTTCAATAATGAGGTAAGATATTTATGTGAAATTAGTTTGTTTTCGTACACCTTAATGTATTAAGCCATGTATGCAAGAATTGTCAGTGGACCTTTGGCTTCTTTATTAAGAGATATGAAATCTTTCGTGAATTTAAGATGAGTGTGTCGCTTGGTCACCGATATATTTCATAAGAGAAGAAGGTATTAAGTGTTTAAATTGATTGTTATATAATTGTGTCTGGAAATTGCAGTTATCTTATTGGATATTTTTAAATACTTACTCATACAATAATTTTTTAGATTAGTTCGGGTTGATAGAAACTGTGGTGTAATAGTGATACGGATTACAAAGATGATTCAAAAAACGAAAAGCATTAAGTTTTGTCTTTCAATTGATTAATTAATTTTCTTTTACGTTCAATGACATGTCTATTTAATAGTTGGTTGACTATGTTTATTTTTAAATATATGATTTCCATGATTTAATTCAAATTTATGAATGTGTCCAGTTGTTTTTTATTAAAGAATTTCATTTTATCATTTCATCTTTAATACAAATAAAAGTAAATTTGTTTTAACACTCCAACCTTTATGAAAATTTGGGGTGTTACAGTTTGGTATTAGAGCGCATGGACCTTTCTATAGACTTTTAAAAAAAAAGAAAAAAAAAAGAGTTATTTGTTTCAAATAAATGAATTTTATCCATTAGAAAAAATATTACATTTTAAGAACTCTCTAGTGCCTACTTATTGTTTGAGTTTTCATGATTTGCGAGATTAAAAGCTTTATCAAAAAGACCTAAATAGTCTAAGAATAGTTTTGGATTTAAGCGATTCACTGTGACCCCTCATCATCTGAAAGCCTTTTAATTGCATGTTATTCAAATCAATATTGTGAAAAACAATATTCCAAAT